GGAAATGGTCATGTTTTAAACAGTGGGTCCGTTTTCTGCTTCATTTTTTATATTTACTTCTACAAGAGAAATGGCTCTGAGAACGAGCACTAACTGAAATGTACTGCTATCTTGCATAACAAGTTTGGCTGGAGTGACGGTAGTCTAAACTTCCCCAAGTTCAGTCAATAACAGAAGCAGTACACAGCAGCTAACGTTAGACTGAACTCTTTTACATTAGCATCCTGGGCTGTGTGCCACACAGTGGGAGGAATTCTACTCGAATGATTTACCAGTCCTGAACTTAAGCTTTTGCTAACGCAACAAAATAATGTCTGCTAATGATTAGCTAATTCTTAGCCTTGGAAGTAGTTCCTCCTGTAGGCGGTAAGCTAGTAAGCAGGGAATCTTAACGACTGCAGCTTACATTAGAGCAAATACACTCGACACATTTTGGATACAGGATGTTATGTTTGATTATCTTCTCCCTCCCCTCAGGGGCCCCAACCCCAGCAAGGTAATCCAGCAGCTCCTGGCCCTCCGTGTCGATCAGCAGCTCCACATCTTCAACTCCCTAAAGGCTCACCTGACAGAGAAAGGCCTGCTGCCAGCGCTGGAGGAGGCCACCGCCTAGAACCTCCCGCACCCCCACACCGGCTCGCCCTGAGAAGGAGGCAAGAGAGGAGGGCAGGAACCCGAGGGCCCCGCGCGGCCCCGGAGCTCTGGGAGACTGGCAGTGCTTTGTGTGTGAGCGAGAACACATCCGAGAAAAACACAAAACTAACAACAACAAAAAAAAAAAAACTACAGCCATGGGTCATTCCATTTAATTTGGGTGTGAGGGTCGAGCATGTTTGTGTTCATACAGTGTGTGAATCATGTTTCAGACACCAGTGTTTTCAGGTTGAGTTAGTGAATTACTGTACTGTTACACATTTCCATAATAGCCAACTTGTATCTTTTCACACTGTTGAACAAAGTGATGGTCAGCTGTACATTTCTACCTGTATACAGGGTAACCTCTATATACCTATTAATGTGTGTTTAATATTTTATTGTTCTTTTTTTGTTTTTGTTTTAATGCACTGCTCTCAACCCAGTTACTCACTGTATTGTTACCCAAGCTACACCCCCCCACCCCCTGCCAAAATTAAGTTTTAATTTTCTTTATCGTGATTGTTTCTATTTATACATAGATGGTTTTTATATTTGGTATGTTCTATTATATCTTAATGTTGTGTATGTTTTATTCAGCCTGAAGTCACCTTCGCCTTCTGCCATGTGCATTTATGTGTGTGTGTCTTTTTCCTGTGTCTTCACTGCCATTCATCAGTCAGCTGGTTGGTTTTGTGCTGTAAGGAGCAGATAGCAGTGCTCCACACATAACTGTGTTTTATTATGAATCAAAAGATAATCTCTGAAGGCCATTGCGACAGACACCAGCACCTCTTTCAGCAGAATAGTCACAATCTCCCCTCACCTGGTTGCTCTTTGATGGCATAAGCAGAACGATTCTCAGAGGTGGAATACAGTCGACTTCTATTTATTGTTAAAACGTCTCCTTCTGCGCTTATACTTTTTTATCTTTAACAAGGAGCGGTTATAGGTTTTACACGTTCAGTAAGGTGGCGGGGGCTTTATTGCTTCTGTTTGTGACATTGTTGGGATGCGACATGCCAATATGTGCTTCAGCTGTGTTGTAACCTCGCTGTGTTCACAGCTTCAGAGCAGACACCCAGAATATGACTGTCACTGGTTATTCATTTGATGTTCAGGTTTGAGTGTGCCAACACAGTAAGCTACTGTAGCAGCAGTCAGTGTTTAAGAGGTTTTACAGTGGGACTCTGTGATATTTATGCCACTGGCAAATGTTTGTTTGATTTGGTGGTAAAATATAAAAGCTGAAGATTCTCCAGTGCTGAGTTCATTTCCGTTTTTTGAAGCATTGTAAATTAATTCAGTTTGTAGTTTTGTTGCCGTCCGTTAAATGGGCACAGTATTGACACATGAAGATGAGTTTACTTGTCATGAGAAGTACTGCGCCGCTTGTGAGAACGGTAATGTCTTCTGTGGCGCGAGCCTCAAGTCTAAGAAAATAGAAAATATCCCTGGTGACGTCATAGTGATGTCATCAGGGTTATTTTGGGTTAAGTTTGGAGATTTATATTACGAAACACATTCAGGGAGGATGAATGACAGATGTGACCATGTTGCGTTATGGGAAATGTAGGCTCAAATGTTAAACCCATACTAGGGGCAAGAAGTCAGGATATCTCACCCTCTGGTGCATACTTTTTGACGACTCTTCTTTTAATCTCTTGCAAGTCGCCTGACTTTGTGCAAGTGCTACTAAACTTGTGTAAAACTGCCAACACAATCTGCTATGTCAGTTCTTATTGGGTGGAATACATTTTTATCATTTATTGAAAATATTTTCATTTAACTTTAAGTCCAACTGAGCCATTGATTCTGCTTATACTCACTACTGACTGAGTTATGTAACTTGGAGTATACAACTGGTGGACAGCAAATGTAATTGAATTTAAAGACTGTAGAAAGATTTGTAAGACTTTCTTTTGGTACTGTTTGGGAATGGTAAAGTAAATTTGTCCCAAAAGATTATTGAAATATTGTTACAAATGAAATAATTAGTCACAACTTTATGGCACAGTGTATGTGGGTCCAACTCTGACCTGACCATACTTATTAATCAACCAATCACCTCACGGCGATCATGTCTGTGCACATTCATCATTTTGTTTCTTTGTTTTGAGGAAAGAATTGATTTCTCCTTGTCAGTGAAAGCCATAAGAACTCTGGAGGTTGAGAGACGTACTGTAGGTGTAACTGTAACCCAGGTGCAACTGTTTCTCTACCCAGTGTCATGGAGAAAACCGCAATATGAACATTCATACAGTAGTCAGTGTAGCAGGGATGTGAAGGTCAGTATCTAAGATGTCTCCATATGGTAATCATACAAAGCAGCTTATACACGTGCTATTAATTGGGGTCATTTTGGAAATAGTTTGCCACCTTAAATTTCCTCTCATCAGAGTTACATATATTTTTAAGCAGTGGACTGAGTTGACTTTTTTTCAGATGGAATGAACCACTGTATAAACCAAGCATGACTTTACACCTGTTTCCCCCATATTCCCTCCATTCGTATTTTTATTGATGTCATTTCATTCATGTCTTCGGTTTGACTTCTGTGATATCCAACCAGTCTTACGCTTATCTTTCTTGAAGTATTTATTTTATTTACTGTAAGCAAATTAAACCTTCTCAAAGTTGCTATATTGTACATTTAAGAAGATGTTTAGAGACCTGTTGAGTGTTCTGAAGTATTTTTGGTTAGAGGAATATTTAAAGTATTATTGCCATATAGGAGAGAGTATTGAGATAGCACAGAAGTATTGTCTCTGTCTTTTTTTGCTGTGACTTTAGTGCAGTTGGGTGTTTTCTTGGCTCTTCCCCGATAGCTGTCGTGTGTCAAAATCTGTCGCAGTGCACGTTGAAGCAGCGCAGATACTCGTAGCACTGTGCTGCATTGTCTCCCCTTGAGTAGACAGGAAGTTTCCAGAAAGTAATGTGAGTACTGGGTTTCTCAGCATTGGTAGATATCTTATATTTCCTGGGCTTCGCCGCCTCTGTTGGTGGTTTAATGTTTGAGGTCTTAGCCCTGCAGCTCTGTACTGCCATTTCTCTGTCTGGTGTTACAGACAGCCACTAGAGAGAGCTGGAGCTCCGGTGGTCGGCTGATGGAGGGTAGCACTGATGCTGCACCTGAGCAGAAAGGTTTGACCGTTTGCTGCTGCTGTTTGATACATTCCAGTATCCCTAAAGTTAAGATTTGCTCACAGCGAGGCAGAATATAAGGGATACTACTATTAAAAAAGAAACCTGATTGTTTTTTTTGTTTTTGTTTTTTTTTTGTTTTTTGGCACCCAGGAAACACCTCTGTGCCATTTTTAATCAACACAGTGCCACTTTGCTGTTGCGAGTCCTGCCCAGCCAGGACTTCTCTAAAAGGAATGTATGGGAGTTGTGACTGTCCCCACATACTGTAGGCTCCCCTTTGTGGACTTTTTATTTTGTGGTTATAGATCCTCTTACAAAGCTGTATGATTTCAGTATTATTCTTAAACTGTGCAATGGTTTGTGTTGAGTTGTACATTTGTCTAGAGAATTGTACTCTTTGATGCTGAAATGTGCTTCGCTTTTGTTCAAAGAAAACTAAAGTAATAATAAAAAAAATTTAAAAATCATGTGGTGTGCTGTGTGTGACCTGGTTTCTTCCCTCTTGGTCTTCTTCCCCATTTTGAAATAGATATTCAGTTGATTTCCTCACACCTACAGAACAATTTTATAATAGTGGTTTATTTTTTTTTGTGATGGGGCAGACAAGCTAAGGTCAAGCTTTGATCTGAAGATACACTCACTAACTCTGCTGCACTCTTATTTGTCTCATGACAGCCTGAGCTGTGAAGCAACATGCTTACTGTAGGACTCAAACCAAGCGGGTAAAAACCATTTCCTTTATGCAGACACCCTTGGGGTTTTTTGTGTGTGTGTGTGTGTGTGTGTGTGTGTGACACCAGTCAACATTAGTCATTTGAAAACTCCCCACTAAGCCCAGGAGCCCTGCACCTTTCAGTGAATCAGCTTGGAAGCCATTTATACAGCACTCTACCAGAACAAGTATGAACATGGAAGTAAAGGCAGCATGAAGGGACGCCTTTTGAAGGGCTGAAAAAAAAAAAAGAAGAAGACAGATTAACACACAGGAAGTAGGAAGTGTGATCTGCGATATCTCTACTTTGTGTGTGTGTGTGTGTGAGTGTGTATCAATGTGTGTGTGTATGTGCTCCAGTGGGGTGTGAAATGAAACACTGACCCATGCTATGAGTTAAGGACAATGTCTCTGAAACTACCTCGCAACTGGGACTTCAGCACCTTCAAGGCTGAGACAGCTCGGATAGGTAAGCCGGTCGCCGTGCTGCATTCACTGTCAGCAGTGTCAGATCTTTCACTCTTCACATTTTGGGCACTTTAAACTGATTAACAGTAAAATATGTTACAATTCCTAATTTTCCATGAAACCAGGGATGGTACAGAGTAAAAAATTTATCTCAACATAGCACCTTGTGCAATGTGTAGAGATACAGTGCACCTTGTAAAATCTCCCTAGCTGCATGAATATTATTTTGTGAATTAATGGTGTATAAAGTATAATTGAGATAAGATCAGATTGGTGAATTGAAAATGGGTGTTTCATTATATAAAAAGATAAATCCGATAATAACTAGTGACAGATTCTGCAGTCAGTGTGGGATTTTTGGGCATGTTAGTGGCTGCTTGCTACGTGGTGACTATGACTAGAGTTGTTGTGGACCATTTTTTTTTACACAAATCACTGTCATCTAATATAGAAATCCTTATTATTTCAATATTAAAACATAGCTTGACATTTAAAACTTTAAAATGTGTTTCTTACGTCACTCAAAAGTAACTCCCAGTGGCTGCAATAAGACATTGACCAACCTACATCTGTGCATCTGTGCGTGTGTGTGTGCGTGCATCGTGCGTGCGTGCGCAAAACTATTTGCAGTCATGTATTTTAAAGTTAAGCCATACAGCAGTCTAGACTTACTAATACCGTGCTTACCACCATGCTTTGCATAGGGTGGAATCAGTGCAGTAGCCCTGTTTCCTCTCACGCTCGAATGGCACAACAGTTGCAACATTCACATGAAAAAGAGGTTTGCAGACAAGCAGCGACTGGATAAATTCTCTACAGTACAGTCCTGCCATTGTTTACAGCATGCATCAGTTTTGCTCAGTTCAGCTCTGTTATCGTTTTTACAATCAGTGGTACTGGTTGTTCAGCACTGTGGAAGGAAGTTGCTGCCTGTAGTGCATTTATTTTATCTGCTTCATATTGACTGAATCATTATCATGCCCTTGCTTATATGAAAGCATAACTTCCTGGAAGCTGGTGACCCCCTCATGATTCTTTTACTGTGAGATGTTCTGTGGATTATGACAGACTTCATACCCTGGAACTGGAGTGACGCAGGCTTTCAGCAGGAAACTGATGCAAGAGCTCAGTTTCTGCAGAGTGTATGTAACTGTGACTGTGCCCATATATATATGTACATGTGTGTGTCGATAGGATGTGTGCGCACAGTCATACTGCACCTGTCCTTTCGTAAGATTTGAAAGGACAACCATAAACCCGTCAGTGTGTAGGAGTGAATGTTGAATGTTTTACAGAGGACAAACAACCTGACCCTTACTCTTCCTGATGCAGCCAAATCAATCTGCTGTTTCATGCAGGATTACAGCAATAGTTTGACATTTTGTAAAAGTATTTGCTTACTTGTCGAGAGTCACATGAGAAGATCGATACCACTCTCAAGTCTGAGCCTGGCGATGACATAAGGTAACAAAATCCACCTACTAGCAACTCTAAAGCACACTAACACAATATATCTTGTTGGTTTAATCGGCACAAAAAAAGAACTTAACTCAACTTTATTGATATAGCACCTTTTATACAAACATGCGGCCAAAAGTGCTTCACATAGAAGCGTAAAAAAATAATAATTTTATGGGAGGTTATGTGCTCTTATGATGTGTTAATTAGCTTATGAACTTTAGAGGTCTCACCTTCTCAAGTAGAAGTATGAAATGAGAAATTCTTTTGTAATTCTATACATTATATAAAAAGCCTCCATACAGTCAGAGGGGAAGTCTAAATATCATTCTCCTCTGTATCAATCTTGACGTGAGTCAGATGTAAGAGTTGCACTTGACGTAAACTGTTTTTGATTGTGGGCACTGAACACATCTTTGAGGTGTGGTGGAACGGTAGGTTCATTGCAAATTGAGGCCAGTTTAAAGGAGCTGTGTGTTTGTCAGCCGTGGGTGTGGTGTGACATCAGCCTCTGTGTGTGGGCTCATGGTTCCTCAACAGCATTTTAACTTTCCACTAATCAAGGGAGGGTAATGTTATTAAAATTAGACCAAAGGATTGTCAAACCTCTAGGTGGAGACCTTCAAAGTGTCGCTGGCCCTCAGGCAATGATGTGGCAGCTTCCTGTTTACTGCAGTACGGCCTTCTTCTTCTCTTCTCCTCTATCATCTTGCTTAACAGGACATGGTGAATTTAAGAACAACTGAGCAAGTGGGCTCAATCTCAATCCAGCTATCTCTGCAGTCCTACCACCCTGCTTGTTATTCAGACCGTCTCTATCTGACTCTGTCTTCTCTGGGCCACGTAGACCTTTGCTTCTGTTCTTTAATCCCTCCATTAAACCATCCCATTGTGGCCTCTCACAGGAACACTACTCTAAGTTTAACAACTGCCAGTCAAGGGTGACATCTTTCAAAAAATTTAAAATAGTATGTGTCAGTTTCAGTTCAACTTAACCCTACACAGAACTTAACCTGACCTTTCTAGCATATTGTTTGATGGTCTGTCTCTTGCAGACCACCGTGTTATTTGTGTAGAACAATCACAGCTGCATTCATGCATCTTCCACAGGAAACTGGTCAGCTCAGACCAGTAATTTCCTTTCAGTCTGAAACTGTAAAGGTGAGGAACAAAAATAGGCTACAGTGAGGAGGCCCCTCAGCTTTGATAGGCTGATACATATTCATATAAAAAAGAGGAAGCGCTGTGCTGCAGTTGAGTGCAGCGCTGATGTTTTGGTAACATTTCACAGCACCGGCTGTGAGACAGTATCTTAGCGACTGTTGCTCATGACAGTTTTACCAACTGCTTTCTCGTGGTGTCTGGCAGCACGATCGAAGAGTGTGATACCTGGAGAGGGAGGCCCTGGCCCGGGCTCACCGCGTTCCCCCAGGTCCATGGAGAGGCCACTGAAGGCAGGCTGGCTCAAGAAACAGCAGAGGTCTTTAGTCAAGAACTGGCAGCAGCGTTACTTTGTGCTAAGAGGAAGCACTCTGACCTACCACAAAGATGACAAGGAGACCACTGTCCAGGTGAGACGTTGGGAATTCCGTTCTTTTTAGTCCTTCATAATGCTATTATTTTAATTATGATGTATTTTTTTGTCCTCTTTTTGTCATTGGTTAGCATAAACCGCATGTGCACATTATTTCAAAAGCGGTTCACACAAATGTCACATATTCCAAAATGAAAAGGCTGCATAACTTTTTGAATTTGGCACACGCAAATACTTATATGTGAGGATAGGACTGTCATCAAAATCATGTCTATGTCTCAATTACATATTGATGTCTTTCACATTTGGTGATGTTAAGTAATAAAAGCAAACCAGCATTATCTTAAAAACAAAATTTAGTGATCTAAAGCTAATATTTGTTATATTAAATGTCAGATTAATTCTTGGGTTAATAAGAAGTGTGTCCTTTATCATTTCCAATCAACACCACAAACACTCACTTAGCTGTGTGGCTAAATGCACACTTCCTGTCAACAAAACAAGTGATGCTCAAAGCCTCACAAGAGAGGCCTCTTGCCATTGAAAGTCTTTTTTTATACTGTGTGTTTTCTGTTCATCTCTTTAACACTGAATGACCATCCAGCCAAGTATAGTCTTTGCTATCATGCTGTAGCTCTGTCTACAGTTTGTGGGACAAACAGAAGATTCACACTAGTTCATCCTCCCTGTACATGTCGTGCCTGTTTGCAAACTTCCAAAAAAGACTGTTACACTCATTACTAGCTGGGATTTCAGAGGAGGCTACACATGGGGATAACCCCTTACTGTGCTTTAACCATCTATGCAGGGAGCGTAGTCAAATTTGCAGAGTATATTAATGTGTAAAATATCAAAAACAAACAGCATGTATAAAATGTGTTAGGGTCACTTTATGCTGCCAAGTTTGGCTTCTGTTCTGTTCTGTTTTCTTCTCCTCTTACATTTCTCCCATCCTTCTGATTTACTTCCTGATTAGAACTGACTGGCAGTGAATGACACAGGAAGGGAGAGGAGCATTTATAAAAATGTGAAAAAATAAATATATTCCCCATTCAGGAACACTGAACAAGGGCAGGCACATACCTACCACATCATCTGGTTGATGGGCAGGCTTCAAAAGCTACAGAATTATTACTTAAGCAAGTACTCCAAAAGCCCAAGAGTCATTTCTACTTTTGGCTTTGGTTTCAAACAGAAATAACCAAGTTGGTGAAGAAGTGGGCTGTACACATGGGAAATATACTGTACTGTAGGCCTATGTGCTTTAAAGGTCTAGTGTGTAACACTTAGGCGGATCTATTGACAGAAATGTAATACAATATTCATAGGAATGTTTCATTAGTGTGTCATCACCTAAATATAGGAATCATTGTGTTTTTATTATCTAAAAATTAGCCGTTCTTTCTTTTTATACACCGCAGGTTGCTTCCTTTGATATCTGCCACGTTGAACTGCCATGTTTCTATAGTAGCCCAGAATAGACAAACCAAACACTGGCTGTAGATAGGGCCTTTTAGTCCTTTAAAGGTCCAGTGTGTTGGATTTAGTGGCATCTAGTGGTGTAGTTGTACTACTCGGCTACTGCAGAAACATGATGGTTCAATATGGTAAACTCCTGCGTTGTCTGTAGTTAAACAATGCTCATTCTAAGGTAACAAAAACATGATAACTCAGGTGATTATTTACGCATAATACATTCAATTTCTGCCAATAGATCCTCCTAAATGTTATACACTGGACCTTAAATGTAAACAGTGAACTCAAATGAACATGAATAGACCTTAAACCTCTTTCTTTTGTTTTTTTGTATGTTTCTGCAAAAACCCCTGTGATACAGTTTTGCTACATTAAAAAAAACTGTGCTATACATGCAGTGAAAATACCTGCTGAGGCCTTTACTACTTTAAAAAACAGATTACATGACCTCTGGTAAGTCGTAAAGTGAACAGTTAATATTAATGGTATATTCCACCATTATGAATGTCTATGAATGAATGCATCAGTCACTTAGTGATTGGTTTTTGACAGAATTCTGGTATGGACATTACACTAATGTTTTTTTCCCATGTGTTTGTGCTCCTGTTTTTTGGTCTCCAGGGAGTCATCCAGCTGCGGTTCAGTAAAGTGAATGAACTCCCTCTGAGCTCAGATGACCCTGGGAAATACCTTTTTGAGATCATACCACGTAAGCATGGAACCGACTCTCTAAAAGAGAGCAAAACTGACTTTATGCATATTTATTCGAACACGTAAAGATGGTTTTGTGTGTAACAGTGGTACATGGCCTCCCTTCATGGCCTTGAGTCATCTTATTTATTCTTCTTAATAACTTACAGAACAAACCTTTGTTAAACGTTTCCTGTATGTCATTGTTTTTAAGTCTCTTTCCAAACTGCGTTGCATGTCCCTTTCTGTCTGTTTAAGACAGCAAAGTAGGAAGTGAAAAACTACCATGAACTGATATGATATCGTCATCTACTTTGTAAATCTATATATAGATTTTACATTTTCTGACATGCGTATCTGTCCAACTAAAGGTTTTGCTTTACTAAGATGCATTTTTCCAACAATCCCCATCATTTCACAGGTGTATCTGGAGACAGGGAGCGATGTCCATATGTGTTCATGGCAAACTCCCAGAGTGACATGGAGGAGTGGGTCCGCACTCTGCGCAGAGTCATTGGAGTACCAACGAGTGGAGGTTCAGTAAAACCTTATATTGTTATAGAAACTGAGGTTATGTATGACAGTGCAACTATCCTATTTGACCAGACCTTTCAGGACATTAAAGGAACAGTTGTACATTTTGGGAAATACATTTATTTTCTTTCTCTCTTGAGAGATAGATCAACACCACTGTCAAATACGCAATGTCCGTATACTAAATGTGTAGCTGGGGCCAGCAGCTGGTTAGCTTAGCTTTGCATAAAGACTGGAAACAGCCAGGACAAGCGAGCCTGGCTCTGACCAAATGCTAAAAAAATCTGCCTCACCACAACATGTTGTTTTTTAAATGTGTTTTTTGTAGAGATTGAAGAAATTAGAAATAACGTTTCAATCAGTGAGCTTTAGAAGGGCTAGTAGACGTTTTTTGTTTCTTTGGACAGAGCCAGGACAGCTGTGTCCTCCTGTTTCCATTCTTTTTGCTAAGCTACTATAAGCTAACCAGTTGCTGGCTTGTGGCTTCATATCCAGTGTACAGACACAAGAGCGGTATCGGTCTTCTCATCTAACTCTCAGCAAGCAAAAAAGTGTCAAACTATTCCTTTAAAGTTAATGAATAAAAACAGGCAGCAGCCTACAGTAGTTAGAAAGGCCATGTAAAAAACGGACCATAATAGTGTTTATTTGAATGTGCAAAAATGATTTCTGATAATACTGTTCAGACATTACTGGTCCAAGATCTCATTTCTTATCTCTCTGCAGTGTTTGGAAAGGGTCTGATGGACACAGTAACATATGAGCAACGGTTTGGGCCTCAAATGGTGCCAATCCTCATACAGAAGTGTGTGGAGTTCATCAAAGAACATGGCCTGGATGAGGAGGGCATCTTCCGCCTCCCGGGTCAGGACAATGCTGTCAAACAGTTCAGAGACGCCTTTGATGCAGGAGAGAGGCCCTCCTTCCCCAGGTAATGCACTCATGGTACCCTCTGTACAGACTAGAGACCATGTGAACCAGAATCAGAATTAGTCATGAGTTCTGTATTGTCTACCGCAATATTACAGCAGTTGTTTAATGGAAACCCTTAACTGAACTGATTGATTAGTAGTAGCACTGGTTTTATGCATATGTACGTATATGGCATTTATGAAATAAGGTTATTCTGGTTATTGAAATACTGAGTATAAAGTGGTTAGAAAGTGGTTTATTCATCAACAGAGTCTCACATCTCAAAAACCACTCAGGACCAAAACTGTCTATGGAAACCATCATCCCTCTTTTAACCTGGTTGGTGAAAGTATGAGCTTAAGAAAGTTGAACTGCTATATGAGGAGAAAAACGACCTCAATCAAATTTTTTCTGAGAAAGCAAGGAGAGATGAGAGAGATACAGAGTGGCTGATAGATTTTGTGTCTGCTAAGAGCTGAAGGCGATACCACATCCTGTCCTCTGGCAGGCACACAGGAGGAAGCCTGTATTACTCAACATCACAAGGTCCTCTGACAGAGCACTCTTGATTAAAACCATTTAGCCTAATGTGTTTGTCTGTAATCCAGTGTGAGCAGTGTCAAGGCAGCATGAGCTACAGGGAAATGCTTCATGTCAAGTTTCAGGTCAAAATTAAAACAAAGAATACAAGATTTACTGTTTTCCTCTTGAACTGACTCTTGAGTCCAAACAACAAAATTGAATCCGAGCCTGCTGTACTAGTTTCCAAAAGCCCAAAACGAGAACACCTAAATCCTAGAGGACATTGTAAAAAAGATGTTTATACTACATCCCACCATGTAAATGGGTCCAGTAAAATATTTACAAAGATGGAAACACTCGCGCTCAGAGTAAACACCACAGCACACAGTCAATAAGTGTAGAATACGGTGAACATATTTTATTAGATTTAGGCCAGGTCAAAGGCTTCCATACACAGCATGTATGAGCAAAGTGCATATCTATGATGTAGTGTGCAGGCTCCAGTTTTTATAAAATACATGCTAACTCATGCAGCTAACACTGGCTCCATTTACTGGCAAAACTATACACTGGTCTAACATTGTCGTCTGTGCGTCTAAGGTTTAAATGCCATTTAAACTGTAAGTCGATGTCTTTCATTGGATGATATATGTCCTTGCTGCAGTGACACGGATGTCCACACGGTAGCATCACTGCTCAAGCTGTACCTGCGCGAGCTTCCTGAGCCCGTGGTGCCTTGGACTCAGTACCAAGACTTCCTGGACTGCACTAACCTGCTGGACTCCAGCAGCTCGGAGGTATCCTTTATTTTATTTAAAAAAAAGCTACAATATGTCTGTCGTCTGACTGTGTTTGTACTCGAAGGAGAGCTCTTGTGATATTTTGAGAGTGTGTCCTATAACCTCTCACTCATGTGTCCTCTCAGGGTTGGGAAATGTTGGAGAAACAAATCACTCTTCTCCCCAGAATGAACTACAACCTTCTCAGTTATGTCTGCCGGTGAGTAGAAGCAGGAGCACAAAGCATTATGGGACATTCCAGAGAAAAACCTTGGTGGTTAGAGAGAAGATTTCCATAATTGGAAAGATAGTTGCTAACATGTCCTTGAGCAAGACATCAACCTGATCTCACAAACCCTTTTGCAGAGATCAGTTTGAGCTGTTTGCTGATTGTGTCTTTTTGTTTCGCAGGTTTTTATTTGAGGTACAGCTGCACTCCAAGGTGAATAAGATGAACGTGGAGAACCTAGCTACAGTGATGGGCATCAACCTGCTCAAACCTCAGATAGAAGACCCCATCTCGGTGATGAAGGGTAAGAACCCATCATTGATATGTCCTGAACCAAGATGTAGACACATCTGTGTTCTCCTATTACCTTCTAATGCAGCCATAAAAACTGTATTGTTCACAATCTGGAAAACGCCCTGAATCCAAATGATAGCATTTTTATTAAGCAGTGAAAATGACATGTGGCAATACTGTAACATGACTACATCCTTCTCTTTTTTAGACATTATATTTAGTGAAATAAAACAGCCTTTTACAGTTATGTCTTATTTCGATACACTGATGAACTTACATAAACTTTTTATTTCACTAATGCTGGCACATACCGTATTTATGTCTGAGCATACGTATCCGAACTATACAAAATAACAGAAAAAGTCAAAAACAGTATTTCTAAGTAAAATTTCAGAAGACTGAAGAAAGTGAATCAAGAATATACACAAGAACCTGGAGATAAGGCATTTTGATCATAATCGTTTCACATTTGTGTTTGTTTTTCTTCGCAGCGACTCCTCAGATCCAGAAGCTGATGACAGTGATGATCAGACAGCATGAGACTCTGTTTCCCCTCTCCAAAGACGTGCTCCCCTCCCCTCCCTCAAAGAAGGCCGAATGCCAGAAGAACACTCCCCGAAGCTTTGTGGGCTGGGAGTCTGCAGAGGTACGAGCAGCTGACCACACACTGAGCCACAGTCTGTTTTTTAGGGTAAAACTCGAACATATCCTAAAAGGCCAATGGGGGAAAAGAACACATACCAGAATATCCCAAACAATGTGTTAGTAGAAAGAAGTTGCCATGTGTTCAACGTGAAAGTTGGCTGTATTACAAACGCTGCTATTTCCATCGGCTGCGTTGATTCGTTGAACACAGTCAGACACAGTAGGTCAATTTGGTAATGAAGTGTTCAAAACATTGAACAGTTTTTAACAGTGGCTAGAAGACAGAGGTGGCAAAAATGAAATAGCATTAAGCATAAAGACTAGAAATGGGGGAAACAGCTAGCCCAGCTCACTAATTTACACAATCTCTCCACACTTTGATTTTTACATGGATGAACGTATTAATAGTGAACTTTAGAGGGGATGGCAGCAGATTGTGTTACTTTTGGACAGAGCTGGGCTAGCTGTTTCCCCTGTTTCCAGTCTCTAAGCTAAGCTAGCTGTTTGTAGTTTGATATTAAACGGACAGATATGAGAGTGTTATTGATCTTCACATCTCTCAGCAGGAAAGTGAATGAGTTGGCCTTCCAAAATTAAGCTATTTAGGAGGATTTATTGGCATATGGTATGTTTTCAATAGTGTATGATCACCTGAAAATAAGAATAATGTTTGTAACCTTAAAATGAGCCGTTGTGCCTTTTGTGTTTTTGTGAGTGTCACGGCCACCATAGTTTCTCCTACACACTGATTATTTATGTTATAGCTAATAATTTACCAGTAATATAAATTGTATAATAAATATATAGCATGTATGTAGTAATATACATAGGCTATAGTATATATTAATCTTCAGTTATGTGTTTGTCTCAGATGGGTGATGCATCTCTGTCGGAGTCTCCGGAAGAGGAGGAGGACATTGACAGTCCAGGTCCAGACAGAGGAAACTGTGACCCCCAAAACACACTTCAGGAGTCTCTCTCACTCTCCACAGAAGACTGGGTTGGAAGTCCCCGCAAACGCACTCAGACCCTGCCCGCTTTCAACTGCCCCCTAACGGGGATGGCAGCCAAGGCCGATGCCCTCAACCGGTGGAGTCGCATCCAGGAGAGCACGGAGGAGAAGAGTGGGACATTGTCGGAGGATATTTTCAAGATCCTGGACCTCCGGAGTTCAGGTTCATTGTTCGGAGGGTCTCAGATCAGTAACACGGAGGGAGAGGATAGGTTAACAGCCAGGAGAGGAAGTGACAACACAGGTTCTTCTACTGCTGCCTCCCAAAAACCTAACAATGCTTCCCAGCCTGCTCCGGTGCTGTCACATCAGAAGAGTGCAGGTAACCTGACAGTGAGCGGTTCAGTTCAGCAGCTCAACAGCAGGTCTGAGCAGACGAAAGACAGCCAGCAGCTTGTAGGCAGGTGAGGAATCACATGCAGACACACACCAGACAGACCCTCACTAACCCCTACATGTGGTACACACTTTTTAGTTTACACTATTGTCGCTTGACCTCCTTGAGATATTCAGTTTATCTGAAGGATTTTGAAAGGTTTTTCTAATTGTAAGGGTTATAGAACACTTGCAACCCAAGGAGGGGCTAGCAGTCCTTCATTTCACACTTGTAAATCACCAAGATTGTTGTGAAACACTATTTTTTGACAGCTAATTTTGTTTCATATTCAGCCAGCATGTCAACATGCCAGTGAGGTAACAGGTTGATAGTAGTAGCAGTATTTCTTGTTTTGGGAATATTGTAGAAATGAGAGTCACTATCTTGACAGACTAAAGTAGCCCATTGGTCTAGAATAAAAAAAAGTGACAGATAATTCCTGAAAGCAATTAAAACAAGCTGATTTACACTGAAACCGATTTAGTAATCTCTTTTTTTTTTCATTTTACATAAAATGTTATTTTAGGAAATGAATTGATTATTATAATATCTAATAATTATAAATTAGTGCTGACATATTTTTGGACTGGATTCATTCATTGTTTTTGCAATGATGGACATCGTTTCCAGAACATACTAAGTTGCTTTTTTTTCTTTTTCTGAACCCTTTGTGTCTCTCAATGTCTTTCAGTCTGCAGCAGGAGAACAAGGAGCTGAGGGCCACAGTGGCAGAGCTCCAGTCTGCTCTGGAGAAAGATCGCCGCCGTGTGGCTGCTCTGGAGATCTGTCTGAGAAATGCTGAGCGCAGCCGAGACGAGGCCCAGAGACGCAATGAGGAGCTGCAAAGAGACATTCAGCAGTTCCTCACCAGACAGCCACAAGCTCCCACCTAAAAGTAATTTTAAGACTCACTAGTATATGGACATTTAATTTGTTAATCTTAACAGAGCTAATTTCACATGAACTGGTTGTGGAAAATACTGTCATCGTCCAGTGGGATGCTGGATTGTTTCCATTTGAGCCCTGTTTGGTCCTCAAGATAAATGATTGGCTCATTTGTTTGTGCCTGTGAGGAAAGTCTGTTAAGAAGAGATCTAAATAGGCTTTAACATCACTTTTTCCATTAAAGACTTTAAACACAAGTTTGTTCCTCCCTACTGCAGGAGTCATGTCACTGTATATGAACTGCCCGATCCAGCTGTTACACAGGATGTGCTGGAAAAGACCAGGTCAGCTGGACTGAATAATGCAGAACAAATACTATGTGTCATATATGGAGTACTTGACGTTTCATTTCAGTAGTAAATTAATAAAATTAATAAATGTAAGTCTTTTGTTGATGCATGGAATAATCTTACACAACATATTTATTATACCAACACATCAGTATACTTTTTTCTACTTCATTGCTGAAAAACAGTGATGAAAGCCTTCCAGATACATATAAACTGATTACATTTGAAGCATGGTGGGTGAAATAATGGAAGATAAGGCATAAAGAGGCAATGTCTTTGAGGCACCAGGTAGGTCACCTCATAGAGGATGTGTCCCATTTCTCCTTCCAGCCAGTGGCCCTTTGCTGCATGTCATCTCCTCTCTCTCCCTCTTTCCTGTCTTTCTTTCAGCTGTCCTTTTCAAATAAAGGCAGAAAGCCCCCAAAAATTAACAACTCTTTAGCCATGCAGCTCTAACATATACTCACACTGAGCACACTAATATTCTGATGTTTAACAAGTAAAATGTTCCATGTTACCATCTTAATTTAGAGTGCTCGCATTAGTGATAGAGCGATCAATCGGGCTGATTCAGAGGCAAATCTAATCTAAAATCGTTACTGGCTAGTGTTAAATATATATTATTTTGTATAATCTATAGAATAATGCAGCTGATTGATGATGCTTCTCACATACTGTACCCTGCCCTCTAAACACCGGTCACATTCTGAAATCTACAACCCAAAGTATTGTTCTATTTCATTCATTAATAAAAATTCAAGTCATATTGATCAACCACTAGTTTGCATGCCAACATTTGACATTTGACAACAATGATTGCTAACATTGCTCTGTGTCTGCTGTATGTGTAACAGGCAATTTTACATCTGTTATATTGACTTATGGTGATGATATGTCAGTGTTGATCCACTGCAATCATTTAAAGGCTTAGTCTGTAGGATTTAGTGGCATCTAGTGGTGAGGTTGCAGATTGCAATCAACTGAATACCCCTTGCCTCACCCTCCACCTTCAAGCATAGAGGCAAAACTACAGTGGCCACGAAACTTGCAAAAAACGCCCTAACTACAGCCAGTGTTTAGTTTGTCGGTTCTGGGCTACTGTAGAAACACGGTGGTTTAACATGGCAGACTCTGTGGAAGAGGACCCACTCCCTCTGTAGATAAAAATAGCTTATTCTAAGGTAACAAAAACACAATGATTAATATTTTCAGGTGATGTTGTGGTGATCTGGGACTGCATTAGTTTTCAATACCTTTTTCATCTTAAACATCGCAGATGTAAATCATAAAATTCAGATGTTGGATATCAGCACAAAGTCTATTAAAACACTCAGTCTAAAAATAGGAACTCTGGCCATGAATCAACATCTGTTACACAAGGAGGTCCATAATAGAGACCATATGGATGGGACTAACCGACTGTGTGAATGTGTGTTTGTGTGCAAAAGAACATTGCCATTATCAAGCCTTCTTTCTGCCATCAGGAAGATGTGATAGTCTGTTGCGGCAGCAGTTTAACAGTGAGAGATAACAGCACGTCTGTCAACTGTCAGCCTGGCAGATGAGGCAGGAAAAGCTCATTCTTTCCCATCTCTGTGACGCACCGCAATCAGGAGTGTATCTGCAGGTCAGACAAAGAAGCTCAGGAATGAAGGACAGTTATGTAGTGGAATGAGGGTTCAGGTGACAAATGGAATAGTTATTTAAATCTGTTCTCTGAAGCCAACGTGAGTCATTATTAATCTCATCAGAAGGAACACTTTCTTGACCCCAGTCTGCTTCACCATGTACAGTATATCCATACATTTAGTGATGACTTCCTGGATGGTGGAAGTTTTTCCTCCACGAGACACCCAGTTTCCATCACATTAGACTGTCTCGGTTGCTCTATCACTAATCGAAAGGAATGTCTCCAAAATGCTGCGTCAGGACACTCATGAAACTTTGAGAACGTGCCTCATCTATTCTTGCGTTGAACACCCTTGCTCTTGCATTTTTCTAGGAGCCTCTTTTGCTCAGATAACGTATTTCAGACGTGTCCAGTGTCCACTTACCCAAAGGAGGAACCACACACAGAACATTTCACCAAGCACAGCGGGGGCATGATTGTAACTCTGTTAAATAAACATGAAGGATTATTTTGTACTACTGTGTTGACATCCTGAGCAACTTGAAATGTTCTTGAGAGTCAGCTCGGTATCTTTCATCCTCGATCATTAAGGCCTCACACCTCATTGCATTTCAATTTCATTTGGACAAGTGTTGTCTAATAGATATATCCTGTTACATTCAACGGTATCAACAGACCCTTGGTGTATTTTGTCAAAAAGAAATGGTCAATGGAGCCTAGACAGCAGCTCGCAGAACTCCACCATTTACAGAGCAAATAAACAAATGAAGAATATCAACCCTGGAGCACCCACCCAAACAAAATAACGCTTCCACAAGGAAGAGGCTACAGGACAGTGTTTACAAAATCCTCATTAAGGAAGTTGTGAGATAACACACGCTCATGTGCATCACACAAAGTTGAAGGCACGCACGCACGCACACACACACACACACCAGCAAAGAGACCATAAGCACTGAGCAATGCAGAGCCCACCATATCATAGATAAGAGACAGAAAAAAAGAACTGGGCAGAAGAGAGCAGAGCACAGAAAGAGACTGACAGAGGAGAGGACACAACAGAGATGACTCAGACGGACAAAGTCAAGCCTTGGCCACCCTGTCACCGGAACTGCAGCCCTGTCGCAAAGGACATCAAAAGGTGTGCATGAGAATAAATGCTGTGAGATCTGGAAGAGAGCAGCAGGAATACACACTCCTGCAGAGAGGCTCACAGTGGTCAGTGCAAGGGTCAGCAACACTACTGTCTACTGCCAGGGAACCAGAACTTTCCATAGCCTGCAGATGAACTGACCACAATTTAAAGTAACGTGTGGATTAAGGCATTCAGGGATTACAATCATTTTGTTTTTACTGTTGCAAAAGCCAATCCATAGATAATCCCAGAGGGCATAATAGAAAGCTGCAGATTGTCTTTCCCATGGCGTGCATTTGGATCTCTCAACTGGGAACCATCTGCAGCTTCAAGACTTGGCTCTTGCTGTTTTCAATCCTGCTGCTCCAGGGGCCTTTATGTGGACAGAGCAGCCCGATCTCCAGCACTCATCAGAGGCATCGCCCTGCTCCGGGGCTGGGAGATGGGCATGGAGGTGTGGTGGATCCGTCATTGCTGGAGCAGGGCAACAACATGAACATGCAGAGCCTGCTGGAAAGCCTGAAGGAACAGTTTCTGCGGACTTTCAACCTCTCAGGCTTGGGTCCTCCTGCCCTGCCTCCTGGAAGCATTCGCGAAGAGCCTCCTGAGTACATGATGGAGCTCTACAACCGTTTTGCTAATGACCGCACTGCCATGCCCACTGCCAACATCATCCGCAGCTTCAAAAATGAAGGTAAAGATCCTCTGCTCCATATGATGATGATGCCCCTGTTGATCATATAGATTGATTAAAAATTAGAACTTTTTCCTTCTTAGTTGCTGCCATGTTTACATTTTTCATTGAATGATTAATTACTCATCACTCACTGGTCTGCAAGGTCAAAGACTGTAAGTAGTGAAACTGGGAGCAAGGATCTTCATGTATATATGTACCGGTTTTATGTAGACTATCTTCAAGTATGTACGAACAAATATTTTGTCCAAATCCAAGCCTTAGTCATGACCCTGTTCCTTGTTACTTCTCTTTGCAAGGCAGTATTCATATCAAAATGTTATTCTTTTTTTTTTTTTAATGCAACAGCTTGTAATAAAATTAAGATAATAGTTAAATACATCCAAATTAGGAATGAAATTGAAGATCAAATTCTCTATACAGTTTGGTCAAGAAAGCATTAGCATTTGTTGCAGAACTCAGCTCAAAACCTCATTAAAAAGACTACACAAAATGTACATTAATGTTTTTTTCTCTTTTCCAGATTCATCTCCCAGTGCTGTGGGTGTTGGAGGAGTGAGGCGTCACCCACTCCTATTCAATGTGTCAGTCCCACATCATGAACGTATCACAGCAGCCGAGCTTCGCCTCTACACCCTTGTCCAGACTGACCGCCATCTCTATGCTGGTGTCGACCGTAAAGTCACTATCTACGAACTGGAATTGCATGACAGAGACAACAACTTGACCGATGAGAACACCATGAGAGGCGATGGATTCATAGAGGAAGGAGAGCGGATAGAGCTGGTGGAGTTGGCTTCACGCCAGGTCTATGGCACCGATAACGGCTGGGAGGCCTTTGACCTCACTGCTGCTGTTCAACGCTGGCGCAAATCTGACCGTGGCACTACGCACCAGTTGGAAGTGCACATTGCCAGCATGGGTAATGAAGATACTGTTCAAGGTATGACAGGGGACAACAAAGACAGGGATCCACCTGAAGGGGACATGAAGATTGACACCAGCCCTGAAGAAAAACACAAACCTCTGCTGATTGTTTTCTCTGATGACCAAAGTAGTGATCACCGTGATGACAAGCGTGAGCTGAACGAGATGATTGACCATGAAACCTCTAACATGGTTCTCCAGAACGACTTGGGGACAGGTCTGAATGGTCTGTGGGGGGAGCTGGGGAGGGACAGGGATGGAGGAGATGAAGAAGTTGAGCCAGATGAAGAGGACCTCATCCAAATGCGCTCCAATCTGATCTATGACACTGCATCTCGCATCCGTCGCAATGCCAAGGGAAACCACTGCAAGAAACAATCTCTATATGTGGAGTTCAAAGATATTGGATGGGACAGTTGGATCCTTGCACCACCTGGTTATGATGCCTTTGAGTGCACTGGCATTTGTTCTTTCCCGCTGACGAAACACGTCACACCCACAAAGCATGCCATTGTCCAGACATTGGTCAACATCAACAGTCCTCAGAAGGCGGCACGAGCTTGTTGCGTGCCCACCAAGCTGGACCCTATCTCCCTGCTGTATCTGGATGACACAGGCGTGGTCACCTACAAGTACAAGTTTGAAGGTATGGTGGTGGCTGAGTGTGGCTGCAGATAGTCCATGCTTAGCTATAGAACTAACGATGAAACCGGAGATAAGCCAAAAGTATCTTCAACAAAAGGGCAATTGTTGGAATCTCTGTAAGGGGACTCAGTGAAATTGGAAGTGAACTTTCACTATTCATGAAACTATGTGCGCTCCAAAAGAATGACTGTCTTGTTTTAAACTACAAAACAGAAACAAGTGCTTTATCATACATGGCCAAAGGCATGAATATCCATTGACATCAGTCAAACAGTAGAGGTACAGTGTGCCGGAGATTTACAGTCAACATGGTGCCCAAAGTGAGACACAAGATTTCCCAAGGGACCGAACCAAGCACATCGTACAGTGTGTACGGCCTGGTGGGAACTAGTGGACCAGTTATCCCCCTTCCTCCCCTTCCTCCCCTACCCCCTGACATCTGTCTTCCTCTCCACTTATCTCTGGCCTCCCCACTCGATGCAAACACTAATCAGCACTTCATGTGTCCCGGCGCAGTGAAATGACCTCCCTGAGGCAACCTGACAAGACATGAACTCTCCAGGCCGACCTCCTGCCTCCTGCAGCCTCCTGATACTAAGGCGCTGTGCAGGAGTCGTAGTGGCAGGGTTATCTATCCAAACCCTGTTTCCCACTTCACATGCTTCTTTTCCACCCCCCCCGAGCTACAGCGATAGCAAGGTGTGGGTGTTTGAGAAACATGTATGCCACCACTTGCGCATGGAGAACTGGACGCCATTCTGGTGAACTTTTGAGGTGGTGGGATAGGGCAGTGGGACAAGACAAGGGGGCAGGGGTTTTCCACATTCCTAGGCAACAAACAATCTTAACTGGCTCAACTCATTGACCTAGCACCATGTGCCCCCAATATATCTCTGACTCCTCAGTTGTGTCACTTTTATGGTCAAAATGGCCTTCTGGGACATTTATTTTATGTATTTGGCCAAAATCAAGAGTTGAAAAAAGGTTGCATTTGCTTTCGAATATCAAAAGGAAATACAGCTACAGTTTTAAAAAGAAACCCTTTTGATACCTCTGCTGCTTGTGTCAAAATAAAGACTATTTATTGTTCTAATTTATTAATTTTTACAACTGAGTAGACAACTAAATATGAACCTTTGTAAGTTACTTAGTGTAGAGCAGGTTTTGTATCAGTGCATTTGCAGCACAAAATGAATTTTGTTGGGAAATGGTTTGGAGAAATGGTAACAATTTCTAAAACAATAAAGATCAATTACTTAACAAATACTAAATGAAAAGTCTCCTTAACTATGAATGAATTGCTGAAGAAGGTTTACACACCATGTTATTCACAATGTCCTTAGATGAGCTCATATCAAGATGAATGTAAATATTTGGAGCTAGAATGCCACACTGATCCATTTTCCACATTGCAATGATCAATCAAAACATCTTGATCTATCAACTTAACTTTCCATTATTTTAGGAAGAAGCTACTAGACCAGTCATACAATACATTTCTGACAGTCCAACAGTATCAGCTCACAGGCCATAGTTCATACATGACACACAAACAAAGAACCATGGGAAACTGAGTGGAAGACCCGCTAATGAACGAAATGGATGGCCTGTTGCTCACACTGACAGCTAGCAGATGCAAGCAGTTGTGATGGAAAACCTGTTTGTGAAAAGAAAATGTGAACAAAAAACCAAACAATGATCTGGACTCCAGTATCTCTTTCTTTTCCCACTAAATCGTCTATGGATGTTAAACCAGATTGCAAGAGCATTGTGTTATTCATGTACCAACGCACACACAAGATAAAGGATACAGATCAGATTAATGCTCGGAAATGTGTAAAACTTTCTATTATTCATTTGTTGTTAAGAATGTGTGTCACACATAATGTTTTATGAAAGGTGAGAGGTCTGTGCTGTTTGGGTAAATCCCATCGCTAGCAGCAGAATTGAGGTCAAAGATGAAAATCAGAGACGCACAATGAGATATGGATAGTAGGTAGAGATCTAACAGAAAACATGATATTATATTGGAGAGAGTGAGCTAATACTCATGCCAGGCTGCTTTACAAACCGGTTAAAGATACAGTTTGATCTATTGAAAAAATACACTCCTTAAACTTACTTTCTTCACCAAATTTGATTGTGTGTAAGGCTACAACCTGAGTCAACAGTTAGCTTAGCTTAGCATTAAGACTAAAAGAAGGAGGAAACAGCTAGGCTAGCACAAAAAAAAAGGCTGCCTACTGGCACATGTGATGAATCCATACAAAATAATTCAGCTAACAAACAGAAAATATATGGGGGATTATATGCTGGACTGTTTCTTTGCCATGTTCAATGGATTCCTGGAGTCTTGTCATTGCTGTAAGGTTGTCAGGCAATTGTCTGAGAATTATTTAGCTTTAGAAGTGCTGGTGCTAGCTGTTAGCCTTTATGCTAAGCTAAGCTAACTGTCTCCATGCTGTAGCTTCATACTTAAATGGACAGAGAGGAGAGTGGTATCAATCCTCTCATCTAACTCTAGTCAAGAGAGCAATTACGCACATTTCCTTTAAGAAGCTTTGACCAATAGTAATGTTATAGTCACTAAATTAGTTTCTAAAAAGGCAGGCGAGAGGTATGTCTGGGGTACATATAACTTATGCAATCATAATACCATTGCTACATTGTCGCAAAATAATAGTAACAATTATTTAATAATAATGATTATGTAATACTTCTGCTGCTTCTGTGGATGATATATTAAAATTCTAATATGAAACTTTATGTGCTGCACACACACTGATTTCTCATCTATATGCAGTCAGACAGTGTGTCGCAAATAAAGTTACAGTTTCAGAAGTTTATTATAGTAATTCTGCCAGTTAAAAGCTTCCTAAAAAAAGTCTTTGGCAACAGCCCGCTGATGGCAAGTGCACTGAGATGTTTCAAAAAGCAAACAAGTCAGACACTCTCATGTAAGATGAGAGCAGGGGTTGTCTAAAAATGGTTATGGACCAGAGGGCAAGAACCTCAGTTACTGTGACAACAGGCACTCTCAGCTATGTGAAGCTCTCTAATTGAATATTTACAGAATGGTGGAAGAAATATGAATCTGGCCTTTGTCACTGAATGGCAAAGTTTCAGAAAATATGATGAAATACGAAGTCTTTAGTATTCGCTCTGATGATAAGGACTGGTGGCTCTGCGCTTTTTCTAACTCTTGTTTTGACATGGCTTCATCTGTCAAAAGAATTTTAATCCCACTTCTTGTCGTTACGCTGGAGTTTGTGTAGGATTTAGCCTACGTGATTAATTTAGGAGCACACCTATCAGCATATAAACAAACTGAACAGTTCCCAATGTACAGACGGTTCAGTGCTTCAGACTCCTGTAACGCTCCAGTGCCTGAAATCATGATGTTCGCTGCAGGAAGTCTGTGAAAAGACACTGTGAACGTGTGTTTTGGTGTGTGTCATCCAAAGCTTCATGACTCGCCCTGACTCTGACGTGGGGTCTGTAATAGGGCCTGATTGTTTCCGTTTTGGGTCACATCTTTATCATTCAATCTCTTGGGAACACAACCACCCAGTACTCATTCCTTATTCTTTCCTTGAATCCCTGCGCTTCCCATGAATAGTACACTTTGCTCAACAATTACTTTATAACTTTATGAAGTGTCTCCAAATGTGTAAACACCTTTTAACATTTCGTTGCGAAATTTCAAAAAGTCCATTGAAAGAGTCACTAATGAAAAACAGATGTTCTGGTTCACATGCTTACGCAAGCTAAAAACTACCCACAGACCGATTTCTCTCCAAACAGTTCAGTCAGGACAATAAAAACTGTACACCAAGCACTGTCATTCTTCATTTAAAGTAATAACTTTCAATCACCAGAGACCCTCTGTATAAAGAATATATTATCAGTTGTAATCAGGTTAGGTAAATCTTATTATATATCTGCATTAGTGTTGTATTATTATGTTGAAACCATGGTGAAAAAGACACAGGTAAAGTAACGATACATAAACTATCTCTCAAGAAGAATTGCATTTGTCCCCCCCATGGTGAGTCATTATGTGCTAGACCCCACATGTCACTTTGATGAAGTGTAGGAAACTTTAACAATCTCTCCTGTGAAAACAGCATGAGGGTCAAAAGAGAGATAACTACAAATCCTCTGGCATGATCCCAGCTGAATTCTGTAGAAATTAAAGCCTGAGGATGATTAAATGATTAGATTTTAAGGGTTTATTTGACGACAATGACTCTGTAATAAAAAGAAAAGGTTGCAATTGCAAATAGTAACTGAAAGGCTTCTCATCTCTAAAAACATGTGGTTTTGATTTAGTCGAATCTCTGTGGAACCAGTTTACAGAGAGTGTTGTCATCTGAGAGGCCCAGGGCATATAAAGCAGTAACCGCAACAGCACAAGAGAAACCTGAACCCGACGTGAACAATAACACCCCTAGTCCGCTTTCAGAGGTTTTCTCATGCTTATCAAGCCCAATGTTTAACATGTTTTTGAGATTTTTTTTAACAGAAATGGGGATTCATGAAAAAACTTTGCCATCATGTATAATGACCAAATATAGCATTTAATATAACAAAGTCTGTACAAAATGTTCATCAAGATCAAGAAGATATATGGTACAAATAATACAACAGCTTTGGCTAAAACAGGAATGTTCACTATAAACATTTACATTATTCTTACATTGTAGAGAGTTCCACTAAAATATTGAGGTTTTGCAAAAAACTGCAAGACTAACTTTCCTGCCAAGAAAATTAGATTTTTGATTTGAAGATTGATCAGCCAGTTTAGTTTAGCTTATCATAAAGACTAGAAACAAGTGGAAGAAGACCCAACAACCAGGACCTAAAGGTCACCAGTTAACACATTATATGTCTTTTGTTTAATCTGTACAAAAATGTGTGGTTATATGGATTGTTATATATGCTGGACTATTTTGTGGCCAGGTGGAGTCTCCACTGAGCCAATTTAGCTGTTTTCAGTCTTTGTGCTAAACCAAACTAAGCTGCTAGTTGTAGCTTCTAGTTTACTGCACAGACTTGAGAGTAGTCTTCTCATCCAACTTTGCAAGAAAGAGTGTATCTCAAAATGTCAGACTACTGTATTTCTTCAAAATGTTTGTAAAGTATCCAGGCATGAGTGAATATCAGCTCACTGCAACCATTAAAACATATCTGTAGTTTTCCCTTTAACATATGATCATTGTCCAAAATGAATCTGTCACATATTATCTGCCTAACATATGAAAACATTTAAATCCATCCAAAGACACACCCATGTCATGAGGGGAACTCAGTCACACATTATTTCAGGCATTTGTTCATTGTTTTTTTCTTATTGTGTCATCCCTGCGCTCTCCTCATCTCGTGCTGTGTTCACTTGCTGTAGAACAGCTGTAGATAAAGTGCTTAACAAATAAAGTTGGATTGGATTGGATTGGATGAGCGTCCAACTGAACTCAGAGATCATTGACAAGGAAACACACAGTGTATAATTAATTAATTATACATATTTGAATTGTTCTTTATTATAAATGGAATTTTGTGGTCACAACTCTCAAAATGTCTTGATACTGCAGGATATATGACTGAATGGTTGGTTTGCTGTAAACTGTGGGAACACATGTCCTTTGTGAAGTGTGCGTATTAAAAGCAGGAACAATCAAAGTCTGCAGAAAACATCCTTCATTGCATCTTGACAGTTTTGCTGAAACTTCAGCAGTCCCCAGTTTGCTGCATCATGCAACGGTTTTGTCACTCTGGTGAATACTGCCCTGATGCACGGTATGTGCCAAAGAGGTGGTCCCAGTGTGTGAAGTAGGGGGCGTAGTTTCCCCTGAAGATAACGTGGTGGGCTTGGTGGTAGGGGGCTCCACCCAGACAGGGCAGCAGTCTGTGCAGAGCCCAGGGCAGGTCGTAGCCACAGTGGTCCTCCACCGCCAGCCAGCTGTTGAGGAGGTGGAAGAGGGCTTCGCTCAGAGGGTGGCAGCCCACCACCCAGGCACTGCTCAGAGCCAGCAGCAGCAGAGACAGCAGCTCGGCTGCACTGGCATCCTGAGCTGCCAGAGCGAAGGTTACATGGTGCTGGTGGTGCAGCTGGTGAACACTGCAGTAGAGCCAAGGAAACCTGATGAGAAGCAGACAAAAATCTGTTTCTGTTTATATTTACTGCAAAGTCACTACAATATTCCCAGGATTGTATGTCACTATGTCGGTGGTTGTGTACTCAGTAGAAAATCAGTTCTACTACTACTGCCACTACAACTACTTATACTACAACTATTACTAATAATGTTGCATCTTGTAGAAAAACAACTCAGGACACCTATGGTCACCTAGCAATTTCAGGTTAAAGGGGCACTGATTTTAAACATGAAGGTCGGTTTACTTGTCCATGATGATGTCACAGAGATGTCACCAGGGTTATCTGAGACTTAAAATTTTTAGTAGACTGCCTGTGTTACAAAATGGGGCAGTGGGATTTGAAAGGCATGAACATTTACCTGAAACAAGGGGGCTAAAACAAGAATAGCAAATTAGTTGCATTTTGGGACATTTTTGGAGCTTGACCTGCTGGCTACCAAAAGTCAGGATATTTTGGGCTTTGCTGCTATAGTGATCATTCTTTTCATGTCTGTCTCTCTTAACTGTGACCTATAGTACATGATCTCCTGCAGTCTATTAGTCTGAAGATAAAGTGAAAAGTGTTGTTGTTTGCCTTTCTAATACCACTTTATTACATTAACCAAACTGTTGTGAGCTCATCACATCCACTCATCTGTTCTCCATGAGCTGTATATATATGGAGCTGGATCTGAACAAATGATTTTGGTATGGGAAGGTAAAGCAGCATCATTGGTGGAGAAAATACTCAATTCCATTACTTAATTAAAAGTAGAAGTAATATTGCTGTCTGATAAGTTTTAAAGCTGTTTTTATTGAAACAAAATAACCATATTTCCAATAAACAAATACACATGAGCAGTGTTGGGCTAGTTACTCAAAGAACGTAATTTATTGCTCTTTTCAAAAGTAATATTATTACTTCACCTATCACTCCCTGTCAACAGTCATAAGTTACAATACTAGTTTAATTACTTTTCTGCTACTCCCTACAAAAATTGGTAATGGTGTTCTTTCTCCCCAAAATTCAGATTTACGCTGATTAAAATCAGTTTGTTAAAATCAAAGTTATGGAATATTTCCAGCTGCTGACTGTAAGCATTCCCATTTTCCAAATTACTTTCCTCCGTGATTACAAAAATGAATCCAAGGATGTGAATGGCCTGTTGGATTTCATATCAGTAGGAGGAGACAACAAAAGTAAGGTTATAACTAATTCAGTTTTGGGGAGTAACTATAATATTTTTACTGAAATGTATTAGTAATTAATTACACTACTAGTTACTTTCAGAATAATTTGTATCAGGAGGGAACGATCGGTATACTGGGAGGTAATCGCTGACTTTGTCAACTGGTGTGAGTTAAACCAGCTTCATATAAATTCCAGCAAGACAAAGGAGATGATTACACTGGTGAACATCCAGGATTTGGACATAGAAAAGGTTGGAACTTACAAATACCTGGGTGTTCCCCTCAACAATAAACTGGACTGGTCTAACAACGCAGATGTCCTGTACAAGAAGGGCTAAAGTCGTCTTCATCTGCTGAAGAGACTGAGGTCCTTTGGTGTGTGCAGTAGTCTGTTGGGGAGCTGGAAGCATTGAGAGGGACAGAAAGAGACTCAACAAACTGGCTATGAGAGCTAGTTCTGTCCTGGACTGCCCTCTAGACTCCACAAAGGAGGTGGGCCAGAGAAGAATGTCAGTCAAGCTTGCGTCAATCATGCACAACACCTTTCACTCCTTGCATGAGACTGTGGGGGCCCTACAGCTGTCAGACTCTTGAACTCAGCAACCACATAAGGTAGCTCTGTTTGTCTCTGCCAACACTTATCTCCGTCACTTTTTGCACTATTTAATATACTGTTTGCACATACATCAGTACACATACTAGTACACTACTTTCACATACGTATATTTATACTATATAATTTCCTACATGCCACTATGAGTATTACACCTGTACTGTATATTCATAGCCCTGTCTATAGCCTATTTTTTCCACTAGTCTATACGGCTGTATATATATTTTTTGTCCTGTGCAATTATTTATTTTACACCATGCCACTACCTCCTGCTGTAACCTGTGCAATATTCCATATCAGTCGCATCTGTAAAAAAAAGCTGTATATAGTGTAGCTACACACAACTCTTATTCTCTTATTCTATTTTCATTATATCTTGTATTTTTCTGTCCTATTTTTATGTGTATTTTCTTGTCTGTTGTGTTGTATCTGAAGCTGCTGTAGCGAGTATATTCCCCCAGTGTCTGATCAATCTTATCTTATCTTACTGGGTAAAGTAATATCATGACTGCAATAGTATTACCAGTAATGAGTTACTGCCCAACACTTCACATTAGACTGACAGAATATAGATTCGTTCAGCAGAAAATTTCAATTCTCAAGTACACATAGCTCAGAATTGTACTTGGGTAAATGTACTTGGGCTACGTTCACACTGGAAGTCGTCGCACTCAATTCTGATTTATTGCTCAGATCTGATCAGATCTTTGTTTGGCTGTTCACATTATTTTATAAACCGCGCTGTCCTGGACCTGATCTGGACCACATATGAAAGCGGCTCAAATCCGTTCTATGTAATTTGTGCTGTTCACACCGTGATGAGAAGTACAGATCTGACTCACACCGAGCACGCTGCTCACCTGTGCATGAAGAAGTGCCATATGAAGAAGAGCATGTCAAACAGCAGAAAGCATGCGAAGACCTCCACGAAGAGCCGCCAGCAGGACGGAGCCACCTCCGGTAACGTGGGGCTCCTCAGAATCTGAAACAGCGCGGTGGCGGGGAGGACGGAGGTCAGGTATCTGTACAGCACCCTCCAGAAACAGTCAAACCATCGTTTGAGAGACGGCGGCGGACCCGAGCGTGTAGGGATCCTCCACATCTGGACCCGCGGACAGACGCTGGCCAGTGCGTCCAGCGCGAGGAAAGGTGCGCAAAGCAGGACGTGCGTCAAGAAAGCGTAGGTCGCGGGCAGGTAAGGAGACAGCAAGATTTCCTCCTGCTCTGCCCTCACATACTCCCACAGCCCCTGCAGGACAGGCGCGTATGCCTCTCCATGCTCCGTGGAGGGTGCATTCATCACGGCTTCCTTCACCACGCGTCCTACATCACCTTCTTCTTACAAAAACTACAAAACTATGTTCTGAAGCAAAGCAGCTGATATCCTCACATAAGTTATATGTCCTCACTCCTGGACAGTCTCTCCCACATTGTTAGAAAAAGTTCATTTGGGTGTTTTTCCCTTGCTGCTGCTCCGCTGCTTCCAGCAGCCGACTCACACTGCTGGAGAAAGCTTTATTACTGTGGTAGGAGGGGCCCCGCTTACACACGCGTTTAAATATGTAAAGCTAATTAAAAGTGTCTTTCTCTCCTATTTCAACAAAGTAACAGTGAATAGTTAAAGTATAATCTAATTCCCCAGATAGGACCCCTCCTGAGTGAGTAGGCTGCTGGAAACGCAGGGGCTTTCTGTGGGAAGACTGTAGCCTTGGATGACATTATCTCAGCTATGGGGACACAGAAACTAGATCCAGCTTAGATTTTGATGTTTTTTTCAATTTGGGGATTTTCCAGGAATAAGAGACAATTTCAGCCCAGTCAGAACAAGAACAGTTCTAAGGCTGGCAGTGTGAACGAATGATCTGGTGGATAATTCAGAGAATTAAACTGAAACCATTTCAATTTCACTGAGTTTCTTTTGAATTTCTTTCTTAGTGACGTTAATAAAATCAAATGAATCTTTGCGAACGTCTGTGATACACGACTGCTTTACTGTGCTACTAAGTGGGCAAATGCCAGACAAAGGTCCATTTTTTATTCTGAGTGAGTTGGCTGTAATTTGATTAACTGCACATTTGTGTGGGAAGAAATATGTGCCACCAAAGTACAATGTCTTTACTAAGGTGGAGCCTGCTGAAAAAAAGAATCCCTCAGTATCAAAAGTTCATTTCTAAAGTTTTGCTGCTGGACACAAGATGTCTCCTACTTCACTGTCAAGTCCATTCTCAGTGGATGTGCACTGGTGGCTTTATGTTCCTACATCACACTGTACAAGTTGCATACTGGACCAGGACTGACTATGTGTGATGTCACAAATCATGTGTGTACTGTGTCAGAAACTGACTGGTCAGGGCTTTTAGGTGGCTATAATTAATACTTTTATATTAACAATGTATCAAATGACAATGTGAAAACAATGGGAAAAGGAGCTGCTCGTAGTGATGAACCTACAAAGAGTGCTTTATAATGTTCACAGTGAATTAGGAGTGACACAAGAAGAAAGTAGTTTGTTTATCCCCAGATGTCTGGTCCAATGATCACATAATGACTCATTCATATATCTCCCATGTTCACCAGTGTCACTGGTTTCCAAGTAACCTGGATTTTGTTTCTCTTATGGTAAAACGTTACACTGTAGAAATCAATGAGTGATTTTAAACACAACTCATTACTTTATCAGTAACATTGACAGTAACTTCATTTACATTTGATAAATATGATACTGCAACTCTCCACTTTACAACCTGAATTAAGGAACTGTAAAGAAGCTTTCATTATGGTATCATTATTACTCAAAACTTTTTTCAACTACTTCAATAATCTGATATGCAATAACAACAGCTGTTTAGATACTATATGTTTTATTGTGTTTGAAACACTTTTATTAATAACAAACATCCTATACATCACATTGGACTTGCAATGTAATACAAAATAAATCATTAGAATTCCACTGATTTCTCCAACAACAACCCACAGTACTTTATTGTCCAACGACAATATCTTGATTGCACATTCAAAACTGAAATTAGTACAAAAACATTTGCCTTTCAAGTCATTGCAAGTCTCAATCAGAGAAAATTGTATTAAATTGCCAACTGGAGGTCTCTCTGAGGGCCAACTCAACGAACTTTAGACAACAACAGAGAGTGGTGCCATTTACACAGGATATAGCCAGTTTGTGTAAGAAATAATGAGTGGAAGTTGTATTTTGTCAGATAATTTAGGACATGAGTCATTTAACTTTAGATTATAGAAATACCTTCCTCCTGGGGCACCTTATTGGCGCAATCACTAATAAAAACCATGCCAAATTCCCCAAACTGATGTCCACACACGCCTGCATACCTAACTTCCTCCTCAGCTATGTAACAAAATGGCTCTTTGGAAAGCAAATCATTTTGTCATGTATTCTGTGCTATTCAACACTGCATTCATCCGTTGCTAAGTACTGGTAAACAAAAACAGCTAGACAAAAAACTACAGGAGTTACCACATTGGAGTTAGTTTTTTGGTCCTGATCAAGTCAACATTTTTATAAAAAAGGTTTGGTTTCCCAAATGAATGACTGACTTATACAGACTGACACAGGTTGGTAATATTTCTACAGTGAGTCCTCAGTATCCACCTGTATATACAGGTCCTATGAACACTGCCTCCTCCAGGGCAACAGCTTGTGTTGCGAAAGGTTCAAAGGCAATTCACTGATGTGCATAACCCGCTTCCTAAGATTCTTACATGACATAGTTGCATTAAATTATTTTTAAAAATAACCGAAAATTGTCCCATTTTGGAAACCTGATGTCACATGTCTGTAGTCTGGTGAGGAAAACTTTGAGTCCAAAAGCTGTTTTTCATGGCATAACGCAACATAATCTAAGTTTTGAATAAAACTCCTAATGCACAACAGAGACGAACAGCTGCACAGATAAAGTCTCTCTGCTACATGTACAGTGTGAAAAACAAAGTGCCAACAATCACAGCAAAATGTGGTACAATTTCACACGTTCAATTTATAATCAACAGGTGCTCAAAACATTTTTTACAAAAACATAAACACAAATAAGTGGAGTGATGATATTACATCTGACGGCCAGCAGCTACCACACAGTACATTCATATCATCCGTTTGTCTGCAATGACATGTTTAGTCAGGGTCTGTATTTTTCAAGCAGCTCAGAGTGAGAAACCACCACCTAATATCCTCAGAGTGACACTTATTTGGTCCTTCTTTTCAGCAGAGGAGTGTCAACATTAGGAACTTTCTTACTCTTCTCAAGTCATCCTACGTTCTCTAGGACTGAGCAGAGCTTTCCCGTACTGGGACTCGTGGAAACGTAGAAAATAGCATTACGTAACAGGAGAGAGATTCACTGGATTAAAAGGTCTTTTGATTAATTCTTTTTGTTTTTCCTGGGACTGCTCCAATCATAACAACTGACTGTTTGCTAACACCACTCCACTGAACAGAAGCGGTGTTCATTAGGCTGCAGATTGATAATATACATTTAAACCGCAGTATTATTTTCATTATCGGATAATCTGTCAATCATTTTTCAATTAATCGATTAGTTGTTTGGACTATAAAATGTCAGAAAATTGTGAAAAATGTCTATTGCTGTTGGCCGAAGCCCAAAGGGGACGTCCACAACCTAAAGCTATTCAGTGTACTGTCAGAAAAGACTGACTAAAGAAACCAGGGAATATTCACATTTGAGAAGCTGAAATCAGAAAATGTGGTCATTTGGCCATCTTACTCAAATTATTAATCAATTATTAAAGTAGTTGGCAATTAATTTAATAGTTAACAGCTAACTGATTCGAGAACTTTTTTTCCTTTTCTTCTTCAGTATCAACTGGTAGAAAATATCACTGCTTCAAATGCTCGATGAGGACACATGCATACAGTATGGACAGTATGAATACATAAGTAGTAATGGCTTTGTGATCCTTGGTGTTGTGGGGAAATGGATGCACTTGATGCACAGCAGCAGGGATAATTCCTTCAAATGAGTGTTTTGGCTAAATGACGTTAATTCCCCGTTAAAGCAGCTTATTACACACCTACAGGGGATTCAATCTCTACCTAGGGTTTTTTCCTACTAATTTACCAAGTCTAGACAATCTCTCCCCATGAGTAGTGAGGTAGGGGAATTTTACAGGCAGACTTTCAATGTGATGTCTAGCAGTGACTCAGGGATGCTTGAGAAATACGGGCCCTGGTCAGCAGAGCTTCTCTGGGCCAGAGGGAGAACCTGCCAGGCAGTCTGTGGACCAGGCTTCTGCCCTCCAGCAGTAGTCCTGCCACCCCTTGGTGTCCCTGTGGGTTCCACTACTTTCCTTGCTAATCCAGGTCGAAGAACTGCTCACCAACAATGTCCATGGCTGCAGAGGCCTTGATAGAGCTCCCTGCGGAGCCAGAGTCCACAAACATTTGCGGTATGTCATTCCCAAAGTAGATTTTGCTATTGGCTGCGATTGCCTTGTACTTCATTAGCTGCAGGTACTCTGGTGTTAACTTCAGCTGCAGGAAGGGGAAAACAGAATTCAAATTACCAAAAAAGTCCAGACTGAAGTCCATATTTGTCCAGGCCCAAACACACATCTCACATCACAGATGTGTGTTTGTGTCATCTCCTTACCTTATTGGCCTCTGCAGCTCGCTGTGCTGTATAGAACTCTGCATCTGCCCTGGCTCTCTCCCGGGCCAGGAAAGCACCGTCTATGAATCAGCAACAAACACTGTCAGATTCAACCGCAGCAGGTCAGTTAAAAAAAAAAAGTCTAACCTACTTGACCGCTCAGAAAGCAGGAAGCTGCCATAAATACTGTATTGGACAAACATTGAGTTCTATCTAACCCAGCTGGTTCCCAGACTCCTATAGCAAATATGCTTTGAAGTCACATCTTGACTTTTTTTTGGTAAAGAAAAACACAGTGCACGTAAGGTTTGGTCTTATAAAGAGTCACATTTTGACATGTCATAGCAGGAAAAGTACAGGTGGAACTGAAAACACTGATGATAGCTGTTTCATAAGCTCATCATTACTCCTTATCGTGAGTCAACATGCAAGAATAAAAGGGCTATGGTGTTAGCGCAATGCTTATTCATGTCATCACATGCCTGCAGTGAAAAAGGTCATTTGAGAGAAAAGAAAACTTTGAGCTTTAAGATATACACACTGAATCTAAATCAAAGATTGAGCCTTTCTAGGACACAGACAGTGCTGGAAAGTAACCAAGTCCATTTATACAAATGCTTTACTTATGTTCTGCACAATTCTGCAGTTTTTAATATTATTTTACCCTTTTTTAACCAGATAAGTTAATTACGAACCAATTCTCATTTACAAAGACAACCTGGCCTGCAAATGCAGCAACAGGACTTGTACTTACTTCCTACTTCTTTCACTTTCCATTTGAGAGGCAAATGGGGTACTTTTTACTCCTCTACATTTATCTGAAAGCCCTGATTAGTGTTATTTTTCAGATTTCAGATGTAATACAATGCATTTTAAGATTAAACCAGTTTTCCAACCTTGTTCGTTTGTGACTACTTACAAATAAGTAGCAGTCTCTAACCAATTCCCTTTTAACGTAATGTTTACATTACTTTGTACATCCTCTCCTTAGTAGTCATCAGTATTAAAGCTTCGTCATACATGAGACAGATAATCTGTGGAAAAATATCCTAATGGCATTTTCAAGAATCCACTGCACTGGAACAAAAACAACCAATCAGAGCCAAGAGAGATTTATGGTCGTTCAGTGTCATTCCCAGGTCGTCAAATACACATGCTGGGAATGCCCCTCGACAATCAACTATCTTCAAGCAATCAACCCAAACTCTCTTGGAAATGCCATTAGGAGTGAAATGAGGATTTTTTTTTCTTTCATATCTCATAAAGTATATAGTAACGTTTCAGCAAATATGACAAAAAGTTATTTTTATAAAAGTTACCTTCTTTAGCTTTAAAGAGACTAAACTTTATATAAATATTTATAACATAGGTTTAGTTACAAGGGGAATTTACTTTTGATACTTTAAGAATATTTTCGTTGTTGTTTTGGTACATTTATTTTATTTTTTTCCTACTTCCAGCACAGGCAGGACGCTTATCCAGTAGCTACGTCCTTATAGGTTAATTTTAATTTCCCTCGGGATAAATAAAGTATCTATTTATCCATCCATCCATCCATCCATCTTTCTTTCCTTAAAGCCCATACACAGAATTTTGTGTTGATTCTGGCGACCCCTGTGGACAAAAGTGGTAGTGTTTCTACTGCCTTGTTTCATTGATTTCAAGGGGAATCTGACCAAATCAGGCATTAAGAATACCTATATAGAAATAGCCAATCCCTTCGCTGATGGCCTTTTTTGTTAAAGCAGGTCATACACAGGCATCAGTACTACACTGAGACGGTTTTATAACCAGTTAAAACTCCTTGCAGTGGGTTTATGCAACGGATTTGAGTACTTCTTTCACCACTGGATGCAAACCTTCGATTTGAGAGATCTTTTTCTCCGTTTCCTTCTCCATGACTTTCTGTCCATACTTGATCTCAGCCACTTGTGCCACTTTCTCAGCCTCTATAAAACAAACAAACATATTTAAATGTTCAACTGACAACAAACCGTAACCACGACTGTTTGACGTCTCCTTTCTCACCTATCACAGCTTTGATCCTTTCTGTCTCTGCCTCCTTCTCCACAACCTTCTGTGTCTGTTGAGAGATCAGCAGCTTTGTCTTCTCGCTCTCCCTGCAAACATAAAGACACACTTTATTAAAAGGCTCTGCACACCCACACACAGGTGTTTTCACTATTTTCACTGACTCCTCTGGACTGCGTGGGCATGTACAGAGCAGACATCTCCCTCGCTCTCCTTTTAATATTGTTTAGGTGGAACAAATACACATTTCCCAGACATCCTTAGAAGCCTAATTAGTATTGAAGTGGGATTGTGAGGGTCTTCAATTAGAAGTGGGTGCTTCAATAGTGTTCATGAACAAGATGCTAATGCTGCATTCATGTTATGTAGGCTGGAGGGTAGCGATGGAAAAGATTCCCATGTTTACAACCTGTGAGCTTTCATGTCAACAACTCAAGTCATTGTATGACTGTGATGCAATGAGTAATGTGAGCATTAAAAATACTGAAGATTGACATTAAATTAGTTTTAATGGTTTAGTTAAGTGACCTTCAATGTTGGACTGTTTGAAACAAGGCATCCAAGTTAGTTTACCTGTTTAGTCACGTATAATTAAGCTCCAAGTTGGATATATTGGAGCTTTTAGAAAAAGTCTGAGTAATTATGACTTGGATGGTGCTAATTTACAGTATGGTAGGAAACTGGTAATTACAGCAACTCCCATACAGAAATTAACGGCGCATAAGCCCCAAGCACTACACTGACATGGTCTGGATGGATGCATTTTCTTTCGTGATGCTCAGAACTTCAAATAATTAGGAGCTAGACATGGCGTTTACTGCCCTACACATGTAAACCTGGTCTTGGCGGCTCTTTTCTAAACTGATTTCTGCCTTCATTTTTAACAGAAAATGCAATTAATTGTAAGTAATTCCCAGAAGAAACTGCAGCAAGGGCTCAAAAAGTTAATAAGACAGCACTGGGAGATTTTTCAGTGCGACAGCCCTGGCAAACATTTTGCTAAAACAAGTCAAAATCTGAGTGTGCCAGTTGGACTGGGACTGAAACCTCAAGACTTTCAGCCAAACTCCCAATCCAGCATATGAATCCCATGCTGTCTTGGAGACACTGAATAAAGTGTACTGCCTACACATTAAATCTTGGCAAACCCTCTAAATGAAAACAATATCACTGCTGTTTAAAAGGCAAAATCCTTTATTTATATGGTCTGGCCCTGCTAAAGTTACTTAGGTCCAGTAAGGTAAGCGACACCAAAGCCCAGACTGTCTCACAGGCTGTAAAAACAGCACTATGTTAAAACACACAAAGCGAATTCTGAACCATTAGAAAGTGAAACCAAAAGTATGCTCAACCAAAGTTCACTTGTCCATGCCAAAATTGCCATTTTTAGAAACTAAAGTAATTGCAGTAAATAGAATTAAAATCTAGATGTAGTTTTGATGGAATGAGAAACTGGTGACACATGATTTCCAGTAAATGACATCAATGCCTCCTGATATCTCAAATGGTGACTAATGGTTACCATAACCCACAAGAATGATGCAAAGATCCACCAGAAAAAAAACAGGGGAAAAAAACCCTCAACGGTGAGAACTGACCCAGCACTTGAACACCAAAAACAAAGTAACTGAACATGGAGATGGAGACACCTTCTAAAGATGCAAAATTAAATTACGTCGATACCATTTAAATTCACATTTCATAAACCTAAACTGACCAATGAAAACAACTGTACTCATGAGGGAGAACAAAGTTATAAGTGAGTAACTTCAGGGAAAGGCAGAAAGAAACACTTAACGGCCCGGTTAACACTTGGCTTTGATACAGTTGCAGGTATGTTGAACTCATGACACACAATTAGCTCAGAGATCCTTATCCACTATACAGCTCAAGGCAGAGTTAGCCCAGCCTCAATTCAACCATAAAATAGTAAACCAGCTGACACATGCATGTTGCATTAATTATGTTTGTGAGGGGCCAGAAATCAGATTTTAATTTAAAGCCAGGGACCGTGTCTGATCTTAAATTAAAGTCAGATTTCTCTCCAGTATCTGATAATGTAAGAGTCTGAATTGAAGACTGAACACAGTGGTTGAGCCATCAAAGTGCTTCCCCGAGGCTTACAACTTACTGTAAGTCCTCAATTTCCTCTCCTTATCACAAATATTTTGACTGAGCACTTGCTGTTGATTCATGAAGCAAAAGTTAGATGCTCACAGACATAACACAGCAGGAAAAGCAGGACTTGGCAGGGGGAGTTGGATGGACATCAGGTTTGTCCATTTGGGAGTATAAATAAATGCACAAAAAAGGCTTCAGTGAACATTCCTTGTTAGGTATCGAGGGGGAGAAAACTCACATGAGCTCGTAGTTCCTGCGAATGCTCTCTGGGATATTGGGTTTAGTGACACGCACTGCCTGTGGACCAGCAAGACAAACAAACAATGAGAATCAGATTTAAAGATGTGAAGTAGGCAGATAAAGACAGCAACAGAGTAAGAACATATACAAGGAGGTTTTCACCACTAGGGGGGTTATAAAAAAAGGCAGTTGGAGAGGAGCCCAGAGACAAAGACAATCCTGTTCAAAGACCTTCTGACTCTTAACATTATTGTTTCTCAGAAAAAACTACAATTGCTGTTGTTTCAAGTTTCTAGAGATTTACAGGAAACTAAAGGCCAGAGTATTAAAGCCCAATGGAGCATTAACACAGGAATGAAATGTGTGTCTCTGTGTGTATGTGGAGGGGAAGGGGAAAACCACTTAGGGTCTTTTTAATGTCACCCATAACACTGTCCTTTATTAAACTTTCCTGAAAAAGACATATGTCTTGTATTGCTATGAAAAACGCTCCAGCAGAGGGGCTTTATACAGGCTGCGAATATAAGGCTGCTAACTGTAACCAGACTTTACCCTGGTTGCGTACTGCAGTCCAGTCTGAGTTTAGATGTCTTATGGTATCCTTCTAAAGAGAGACAACAAGGTGACAATGGTAACCCTAAACACCCACTGACACCTTGCTTTTGCCTTCAGTGGGAAAGGGTACAATAAGCATTAATTCAGGTCAAATCGACAGTGATGAAAACAAGACTCCCTCTCATTTTCACCCCTTTATTGGCACAATGTTAATGTGGACTGTATCGTTTACTGTTTTTTACAGTCTATGGGAACAACAGTGCAACAGTGATTTTGTTCTTAGTATTGTGCAAGATGCAACACTGGCAAAAGGCAGCAAGGTGAGAGAGGTTTTCCTGATTCGAGGGGAAGAGAAATTAAAGAGACAGATCACTGGCACTTTCTCCAGTGCTGAAACAGCATTGTGTAGATAGGTCTGGCTATGCGAGACATACAAGAACATATAGAAAATACTGAGCGAAAGAAGCACTGCTTGCAGCCCAAGGCAAGTCACAAATGCTGCTTTCTACTGTTAACCCTGTTTTCTGATGTTTAAGCGTGACACATCGGAAGAAAAAAATAAAAAAAGAACAGTAAACATGTCTACTGGCAATGGGAAAGCAATCAATCCCCTATTTTTTTTTTAGGAAGTTTAAAAAACCTGCACACACGCACTGATTTTGTTTTACAAAGGCTATCCAGTATTACTGAGATTTTATCACAAACTCTCACAATAACAAACAAGTCTCAACAACACATTTTCTTGAGATAATATCCATTCATGGTGCTCATGCTTTTTGGGGGATGGCTGATTTCCCCCCTTTTGCTTTGAAACACCATGTCAGATTAGATGAGTTTCAGAAGCTCTAAAGTGAAGCTTTGTTAGATATCCATGTGCTAGCAATGTACATTTCACATCAATCAGTTTTGTATAGGAATAAAAATATGACTTAATGTAAAAAAATAAATAAATAAATAAATACCCTGAGCAGCCTGGGTGCTCAGGGTATCAGGTGATCACCACAAACTGCAACATCCCTGGTTCGAGTATGGCCAGGGAGCTTTGGTGCATGTCACTAGAAATATCTCTGTCTCCTCTGATTTCCTGTCATCACTGTAATAAAGGTAAAAAAAAAATCCCCAAGTACATGACCACTTGCTAATTTAACAGAGATAAGGGATTTAAGGTGGGTCCTTCATTAAATCATAAGAGAATTGCACTAGCCACATGACCTTTGGGCCCAATTGGACCTGAGACAGTCTTGACCTCATCTGAGGGACTTCATGTTGGTCTAACTTTACCTGTATGATAAGTCCAGGTGCCATGGATGTCAGATCTTCTTGTAATGTCAACTTCAGGTTTTCATCGATTTGGTCTGTGGGGGTAAAGTACGAGAGATTAAAACGGTGAATTCAATTCTCTCTATAAATGGATTATGTCAGATTTCAGGGTCACAAAACATTAAGTCCACACTTAAAAATGTATGTTTAGTCTGATACCCAGAGTAGAGACACATTTCATGTGGGACTTCAGATAAAAAAACGAATAAAATATGTCAGTCAGATCACTGGTATTAGGCAATAATTGCTTCAGGGGGTTTTAGAAAATATCAATACACTTGAGAATTGCAATATTTTGCTTTATGATATTGTATCAATTCTCAGACACTCAATCATTTTTTGTGGTTAAACCCTCAACTTCTAGCTAGCAGTGTTGCAAACGACCCTTGAGGACTATGATGCTGGATGTCACAGGGACTATGATAAATACAAACGCAGATCCTGTTCTGGTTGCATAAAGCTTAATTTTTTTAACTCAGACTTTATGCTTATGGTGGTGTGTTCTTTATACTATAACAGGTTTCCTAAAATTAGATAAAAAATGGGCAGTATATTGAATTGTAACCACTGGATTGAGATATGTATCAATTCTTTGCAACACATACACCACAAAATACAGTGTGTCATCAGCAATGAGCTCAATATCAATTAACTTCTTAAGAGAAGCGGTCTGCTTTTATCTAAACATATGTAAGTGAAAGAGCATTGTTCACAGCTATTTCTCCAGGATGAACATGAGTAGGGATAGCTACCAAAAAAGGATTTTAAATTAAAGCTGCAGTAGGTAAGTTACATAAAAATAACTTTGTCATTATTGTTGAAACTTTCAGTGTGTCCTGACAGTAGTACATGCAACAGATAATCTGTGAAAAAATTAGCTTCCTCTGAGTCCACCTATTGCTCCTAATGGTAGAATCCAACGAGATTGGACGAAAACAACCATTTAGAGCAGAGAAAGATAGGAAGACGCTTTGGGTTGGCAGCTTGAAGATACAGTGGCAAGAAAAAGTATGTGAACCTTTTGGAATTTCATGGTTTTCTGAACAAATTTGTCATAAAATGTGATCTGATCTTCATCTAAGTCAAGGGTATTGACAAATAAAATGTGTCTAAAATAATAACACTTTTTTTATCTTTCATGTCTTTATTGAGAACAACCAAAAAAACCTCATAGTGCTTGTGGAAAAAGTATGTGAACCCTTGAGTTAATGACCTCAAAAAAGCTAATTGGAGTCAGATTTTAGCACATCTGAAGTCTCGTTAAGATAATAAGTTTGGATGTGTGGACTACAGCTACTTCAACTGATAAAAACCCCTCAAACTTTTGGAGTTTGCTCTGCACAAGAAGAACACGCTTATGTGAGCCATGCCTCGCCAAAAAGAGCTTTCAGAGGATCTACGATCAAGAATTGTTGATTTACATAAAGCTGGCAAGGGTTACAAAGTTATTTCAAAGACTTCAGAAATTCACCAGTCTACATTTAGGCAAACAATCTACAAATGGAGACTGTTTCTACTCTACCAAGAAGTGGGCGCCCAGTCAAAATGACACCAAGAGCATAACGAAGACTCATCAATGAGGTAAAGAAACAACCTCGATTGACAGCCAAAGATTTGAAGGCATCATTGGAACTTGCTAACATCTCTGTTCATGTGTCTACAATACGTAAAACACTGAACAAGCAGGGTATCCACGGCAGGACACCACGGGGGAAGCTGCTTACTAAAAAGAACATTGCTGCACGCCTGAAGTTTGCAAAAGAGCACATTGACACTCCACAGCGGTATTGGCAAAATGTTTTGTGGACTGAACTAAGATTGAACTATTTGAAAAAAAAAAAACACAGCACTACATCTGGCGTAGAAAGGGCACGGCATATCATCATGAAAACATCATCCCAACCGTAAGGTATGGTGGAGGAAACATCATGATTTGGGCCTGCATTGCTGCATCAGGGCCTGGCCAGCTTGGAATCATTGAGGGGAAGATGAATTCCCAAGTATATCAGACAATTCTTCGGTATAATGTGAGAATGTCTGTACGTCAGCTGAAACTGTGTAGAAGGTGAGTGATGCAACAGGACAACGACCCAAAACACCGCAGCAAGTCCACAACAGAATGGCTTCAGAAAAACCAGTTTTTTCCACTGCCATTTTTAATGTTGAATGAGAGTGTTCAATAAAGACATGAAAGATCAGAATTTCTTTGTTATTATTTTTAGACACATTATGTTTGTCAATACCCTTGACTTAGATGAAGATCAGATCACATTTTATGACAAATTTATTCAGAAAACAATGAAATTCCAAAAGGTTCATACTTTTTCTAGCCACTGTAGTTGACTGTTTAGTGTCATTCCCAGGGTCCCAAGCATCTGTATTTGACACCCTGGGAATGAGACTGAACACTCAACTATCTTTCTTGGCTCTGACTGGTTGTTTTCGTTCAGGCCCGGTGGATTCTTGCAAATGCAATTAGGAGGAGCCAGAGAAATCAGATTTTTTCACAGATGGCCTGTTGACACACAATATATTACAGTTGTTGATTGCTGATTGAAAAACAATGAACTATCAGCATTTGAACATGATGAGCTTTACTTCATTCTAACAAAAAGGTAGAAGAGTTTCTTCTTGATTACTGTAAATAAGCATTTTACTCTTCTTATGATGATGATGTATGCATGTGTACACTGTTTCATCATCATCATTAGGCCACAGTTGTGTTTACATGCTGTGGACTGGTTAGGTAGATAGGCTGTAACACTGACAAGTGTGGGTTCTCTTTAGCACAGTGACTGAAAAGACAGTTATTACTAAAGTCCACGTGCATAGCAGCTGTTGTGTGTAACCGCAAAAGAGATGAGCCATTAATTTATGGTGCTTTGAACGCTCATCTGTTGGCTGACTACATGCTGTATCATTAAAAAATGCTTAGAGGAGGTGTTTCAAATTAGTAGTTAGTTTACACCCAGTCCGCAGCCCACCGCAGCCCACCACACTCACCAAACAAGCCGATGTAAACCTCCTGCAGCGAGTGGACACTGCAGAACTGGTTGAGCTCATGGTGAACCTTGTTGAATATCAAAGCTTTGTCGTAGTCTGCTGTGAAGTTCCTCACTATGTCGTACACTGCAGAGAGGGAAAAGAGTGCTCAACCAAGTCAGGAATGACAGCGAATACAGAACACACGGATTTGGCTCTGCTGGAGCCAGCTGCAACAAAGCAATGTATAATGTGTCTGTCAGTGCCAAGCTATCTCCAGATGTGAAAAGAAATGAACAGGGAGTTTAGGATAAACGCACTGTTTGATGTTTGACTGTTGAACACTGGTAAGTTTACCTGCTGATGGCACGAGGTAATTCACCACTTCTATGCGATCAAAGTAAATCATCACTCCTCCGCTGGAAGAAAAAAAACAAACATAATATTGACTATTGACAGACACATTTATCTAGAACACGAAGAGAAGAGAGAAAAGACTGTATCATCAGTCGGGGTGATGCCAGTGGTTCATACGTGCGCCGAGTAGGGCTTCACAATATGGTAAAAAAAACCTATTGTGATTAATTTCACTGATACTATGATTGCAATATGATTCACCATAAGTGTGAATGATCATTTTTTCATCACACATTTCATTTTCAATGAAAAAAATGTTCAAATCATGACATTTGTTGGGAGTCTGTACTAAATAAACAAGTTTTTTTACGTCTGTAGAACAAGATTTGTAGGCCAGGGCATCTCTGCAGCACTACAGTACTTCTGCAATTTGGATATTGCGATTTAAAAAATATTTTTATTAATTATGCTGCCCTAGTGCTGATAAATCTCAGATTTTGGCAGTGTTGGTGTAATAAATCTGGAGCCAACATCTGATAATATTTAAGCTAATCAAAACAGCAGACCTACCTTGTGCCGCATGGTACATTCTTAACCTCATCAGTCTGCAGCGTCGTCTGCAAGAGAAAAACAAAGATCTTTAATTTATGTTATGGATGTTAGGAACACAAAAACATACACCGACATCATTAGAAAAAAAAACAGACAAATAGTGGTAGGACTGGGAGTAAATCCATCAACATAGTAAGAAATCTCACTATTTAAAATGGTAAATTGAAGAAACCTGGATTTCAGTTGTATCTGCAGGATAAACACAGTTACAGGAAGTCCTGGTGAGTATCATGAAATGCAATACACCACCACTAAGGGCTGAATCAACATCCTTGTAGCCGTGTTTCCATTACCATACTTCTATGGACATTTTCAAGTGTCGCATTAGAAAAGGTTGGTGGCAATTCGAAAACAACTTTTGAGGTCAAAAGAATATTTGTTATTTTGGGTTTGAGGCTATAGAAATAAAACTGTCTTCACTTGACTCACCTGAACAGGCTTGTAGGTGGTGATGAATGGAAGCATAAGATGGAAACCGGGGCTGCTGGTGGTAGTCAGGAGAGCCCCTCCCCTGCATTACATATACACAAACACACAGTTGATCGTTATATCTAGGGCTCGGCTTCAGAATAAAAAAATAATACTCCTGGGTTTATTTCAGCATGTAATGAAAAAAAAAAAAAAAAAACAGTATTCTGAATGAATGTGGTAAGATCAATTAAAGATTTGGATTAAAGCATAAATGGTAAGACTGTATTGACTTTGGGTACCCTTTATTTGGGAGACAAAGCCACCATGCTGCCCATGCTGATGTCAAGTACAGATATACCTACCTTACAGTTTCACATTCCTGGAAACTCATTTATTGGGGTTAGAGATAAAGAATTTTCACAGAAGAATATCTTATCATGATAAAGAATCAATCTCTATCTGTGCAAGACAGAGTCGTGATCCATAAGAGACTACAGGCTTAGTTAGTGTCAGCTAATCTTTTGTGTAAAGAGCCCCACTGAAGCAGGCAATATCTGATTTTATGCTCTCTGTTATGAAAACCGATACTGACTGCATGTCTGTGCAAGTGATAAGACTTTAAACACCCTGCACCTAGGAAGGTACGGAGGGTCAGAACCACAGCTTTCTTGGCAATCGTAATGCACAGGTATTTATAGTAATAACTGTTTAAACCCTAAGTCGCTTAAGGCAAACACCTTTTACACAGATGCTCTCTTCTTTATAGTGTCAGTTTTACGAAGGAGCAGTTGAACACTAATGTCTCTAAGGGCAAAAAATAAAAAAACAACAATGTGTGCTGCAGTCTCACCTGTAGTAAACTCCAGTGTGTCCCTCGTCGATCTTGTGTACAGAGGCCAAGAGCGCTGCTCCTCCGAGAGCAGCAATTATCGAGAATATGGCACCCCACTGTGCCATCCTGGCCAGCAATCACACAGGGAAGACAGCATGGGAAAGTGAGCAGATAGGAATTGAGTTTCTGTTTTGGTGTTTACACAATAGCCTGCCTTAATTACATCCAAATGCTCCCAAGTACCAATAAACTGTCTATCCATTCAGTGTGCAGCTTGTATAGTACTGTAGTAACATGTTGGAGGTGGCTTCTGACTCACTGGTTTATCTCCTCTCAGCTCAGGCTTAGCCAGGCATCAGCTGGGACTCAGTGACCTTGCCACACTTAAAGAGGATTGAAGCTGAAGTGTGAAAACGCTGTAACCTCTCTTTGTGTATAAAATGAACCTGCCAGTCACCATCTACAACGCTGACTACATTCACTTATGCATGATAAAGTTTATTTTAGCCAGTTCAAGCTGAAACTGTTGGCTGAGGAGCCGTCTCACTTTTGGTTAGGAAGGATTTGCAAAGGCACAATCTGGTACCCCTGCTGTCTCTGAGTCACACTGTTTATACAGCAGTGTTTACACAGTTTCCCTTTGTGTGTTAGGGCCTAATAAATATACACGGTCCTTGCTTTAATTTGGTGTTGTTTGTATTCTGACTTTGTTCACTGCAAGACAATAATATGCAAGATTTATTTTGAAGCTGATCGTGTTTATCTTGGGAAGAGATAAATAAGCAAATACAAAAGTTAAGACTTAAAGAATAAACTGATCACCACAAGAACAGTTTCACGATCGATAATGTGTAATAACGATGTGGAGCTGTATTGACATCCTGCATGAACATAACTGAAGGAAACACTGGTAACTTAGCGGTATCGTTGCAAAGGCACAAAACTATCTTAACACCCTGCACTAAAAGGAAGGGTCTGCTAGCAATGTCTGAATATAATGTATCCGTAACTTCTAAAAGTGGTGGACTTCACGGAAACGAAACAGTTCGCTAGCTACAACCTTGGAGCAGTTCAAAGTTCAAAGTTAACACTTTATAAAACAGTTTACAGGAACACCTGCATGCCGAATTGTAGAAGTGAATCTAAATATTTGTATACAGTTGTAAAGTAATCAAATTGAGACAAGTATGTATGACTTATTGTTAAGTCAACTTAAAATATCAAAACATTTAAACTGAGTTTGGTTTCGAGGGCTTCTGAGCTAGCCATGACAGCATAACGTAAGTTACGTTATTATTGTTGGCTCGATGAGAGAAGTCTCTTCAAATAGCAGATGGCTTCAGTGATACCATCGGTTACCTGGAGGTCACAACCTCACGTTAGATACACTTTCCTACTGGCGTCAAAGCGCAACACAAGGCCAACTATTGATTAACCTTAGCTAATGTTACATGTTAGCATCACGGTCTGAGCACGTTTTTCTCTCCTACTGACATATTATTAAGACCGCGGATAGCAGATATTTTGATTACATAAATAGTAACATATGTCCCTCTTACTCGGCTGGTCTTACCTGTAATTTCGTCCGAGAGAACAACAACAGCAGATAATAAGCAGGCACTTCAGGCACCTGCTACCTGCTACCTTCTTCTTCTTCTTCTTCTTCTTCTTCGTTTGATTGTTCGGCATTCAAATTGTTGCATTAGCGCCCCCTCGTTGGCGGTCGTCCACATGTACTGATGGAGTGGGTCGACTGAGTCACACTCATGATTTGCTCCTTTGTATGGAGTTAGATTTGTGTCTTTATTAGATGCGAGAAAATAAATGATCTTAGAGGGAAAAAAATGTTTGAGAGAAAAAGTTATCACACTGATAGCAAAAAATAATAATATTTGAGACTAAAAAAAGTTTTGAGAGAAAGGATTTTCTCATAGAACATAACAAATATAAATTAGAAATTTTTAAAATTGTTTCTGAGAAAAAAAATCTCTCTCAAAAATCCTTTTTAACTCTCAAATATATATTTTTTTGCTTTCAGTATGAAAACATTTTCTCTCAAAAAAAAGTGTTTCTCTCAAAACGTTTTTCTTCTCTCTCTCAAAACCTAAGTCTTTGCTCTCGATGCAATTTCTTGCTCTCGTGTCAGGATTTTGCTCTCGCTGTGAAAATAATGTCATGGGCGAGGCCACGTTCCTATTGGCCAGTCGGGTGAGAATCGTCTTGGGAGTCGAACTGAATCATTACACCATCGTCGATTCACCGGCATCGATGCGCTGCTTTAGTTGAGACTCCAATGTTTGGGTAAGATGATGACACACACAACTCCATGGGTAGCTAGCTGAGCAAGTTGGTAATCAAAATCATTCCCTTCATAGGAACGACTGTCTAGTCCTAACAGGTTAGAGAGTAACAGATCAGAGGTATTAAAGGATGTTTAACTGGTTAGTAATGTGGAGTTCAGCTCATCTAACATCACTGAAGATTAAACATTAAATAGGCTATCCTAAATGTAAGCTAGGGCTGACTATTAACAGTACTGTCCCTGGTTAGAGTCCAGTTTAGGATCTTTGCTGTAGCTTTCTCTCTCTGCCCCATTCCAGCCATCTCTCTGCTGGCTCTAGAAGAAAAAACTGAATAGTTATATCACCCAATGGGAACCCTAACATTTCCTTCAAAGTGGTATTAATGTCCGTCTGTTTTTTTCCCCTTTTCCAAGTTGAAACTGTTCATATCCTCTATGGAAGCCCATCTCCGCCAATATGACAGGGGAGAAAAGGGATTCTTTAAGTCATTATAATGACTAAGCATCTCAAAATAATGACTTAGTATCTCAATATTTTGACTCAGTGCAGACTACTTTAGACGTGGATTCAAAAATAGAAAGGTTTTAGCAGTTTTGCAGGAATCAAATAATTTCAAACTAAATCTCCGGACCCTACAGAGAAAAAGCTACAAAAGAAACAGCTCTGCAGTGGTGAAATAAGACAGATGTAGCTGAAGTAGCATTGACCAGCAGTTAGAAATGTCTGGCAAACAGCACGGCTAAAGATGGATGCACCAGAAATGTTGGATGGCTGGGATAATTACTGACAGAGAAACTGTGCGTCAATTGATGCGACTGATGGATGGGACTGGTGTACAGTGTTATGGTACCAACTTTGTTAAGTGGGTATTTTCATCGTAATCTAACCGGACTTTATGTGAACATCCATTGTTTTCAGTCACAGCATCTTTAAAATAACCTGCGATAATACGAGGGTCATTGTTGGTTTTGCTTCCAGCTTTATCATTTTTCTTGGGAAGCCATCTATGCAACCACTGATACATATGCCATAAGGCTTTAATTTGTCATACCCATCTATATACCATACATAGTTTAGCCCACGACTGACATACGTACGCCGTCTTAAACGGTTGCACACGCAGCTCTACACGGTCCATCAGTTGCATCAATTGACACACAGTTTTTCTATGGGTAATTATCCTAGCCATCCAACATTTCTGGTGCATCCATCTTCTGTTGCTTTGGAGCATGTGATGAAACAACACAGGCCTATTCTAATTTAGGCTTCTCATTATTTTGAGATAGTCAAAATATTGAGATACCAAGTCAATTTTTAGAGAAAGAATCCTTTTTTCCCCGTCATATTGGGGGAAATGGGCTTCCATATATCCCATCTGCAAACTGGTGCTTTTGTTGTTTCCACTTGAGAGGTTTCTTTAACTTGATCATCCACCCCCTTCCCCTTATACATTTATGAGCTGGAACCCACAAAAACCTTCACTGTCTGTCCTTATGGAAGTGATTCTACACTTTTAATTCCTGAATTTGATTCAGAACAACTTGCTTTAGCCCCCTCTGTCCATTATAGTGACATTAAAATGGTAATTTCTATTTTGTGTACTGCTAAATTGTCAGTATAATTATCTGAACAACTACTTCATATTGATATTATAAATGCAAAACTAGCCTGTGGTTGCACTTTCATGATGTGAACAGCAGATGGCAACAGAGACCAGCTGGAATTCACTGCTTAATTTTCATGAGAAAACTGTGGAGAAGGCTGCATTATCCTGCTACCTCAGTCTGCCATCATTTTAACATTTTTGCATTTTGGAGATTTTCACTACTATCTTGCAGCAGATGTTTTGTTTTAAACATTCACTGATTTGCATTGGTTGGCTGTTGGTAAAAGCCACAAACAGAAAGTTTGACATTTATTGTAAAAAAACAAAAAAAATAAGCTACAATATACCAATTTAAAAGGGCAATCACTGAAAACCTCACAAAGTCGATCTATTTCATCTTCAATCAGCAACTGGAAGTGACACACAACTAGGGGTCTTGACACTAAAATGGCTGTGGTGCTTTATTTTTAGACGTTGGCCGCTTGAGAAATTTACAAAGGACCAGAGCTAACCCCTAGGTGCTGCAGTGGCAGCTCTGTGCCGTGCATTTTAAGTAGGGAGGGGCGGGGTGGTGGAGGGGAAAGGGAACAACAGAGCAAGGGAAAAGAAGTTTGTCAGAGTTCATTAAGTATCAAGGGAACATCGCTGGAACTGGCAGCGTAAGCCGCGCCGGGGCCCTAGTGCCATTAATCACGACTGACAAGAAACCAGGGGCCGAGGGAGGAGGTGGCGGAGGTGGAGGGGAGGGGAGGCAGGGCAGCTCTGCCAGAGACTCTGGTACTGATTATAGAAAGGGGTCCAAGCAGTATGGGCCAGGGGTGTTGAAGGTAAAACACACCACAGCCAAGGCTATAAAGTTCAGCTACCTTCACACAGATCACACTCACATAATCACAGATATACCGAGAAGACATGTGACTCCAGGCTTTGAAAACACGACAGGGTAATTGTAGAAAGAGCGGAATATTTTGGTTTGAGAAGAGAAGTGTAGCGCAGTGTAGAGGCTGGATCTCTCCCTTTGTGTATTTCACCCTCTCCCCCTCATTTATATGAGCTGAGCCTCTGGCTTAATAGCATGCAGGAGGAAGAGAGTGGAAGTGCGGCAGTAACAGAGTGTCGCCCATATATCTCTGTCGGCCTGCCTTATTTTCTCTCTGCACCCCCAGAATTTTTCGTGGTAGCTCGCCACACTGCTGCCACCCTGGAAGAAGAAATAAATGGGAGAGAGAAAGAGAGGGGAGAAAAGAAAGAGGAGAGCTCGTGACTCGTGAAGATGGAGGCCTCTGTTAAGTGCTGTGCTTGAAAGCCCGTCCGGCCTCATTAGCTGTCAGTTGTAACAATACTGAGCTGGCAGCGAAGACTGCTCCCAGTCTTGGTGCCATAAATCACAGGCTGACAGGGCCCTGACAGGGCTGGGAACCAACACACATGCAAGACTTGCTTGCTTTCTGTCTCTCTGCTGATCCCTTTCTTTCTGTTCTCTCCTTCTTTTTCCACTGCTCATTCTTTTTCAGTCTTTATCCGCCATTCCCTCTCTCTTTCTTCTCTTTCTTTGTCAGTACCACTCCCTCTCTTTCTCTCTCTTGTATCTGTCTCTCTCCCCCTCTTTCACACACACTTACAGCACATTGCAGCATGTCAGCAGACAGTCCCAGACACATGTGCTCACACACTTTCCTTTTGCAGCACTTTTTTTTGGCGTCCTATACAAAAGTGTTTTTGACAGAACAGGTTTGGAAAGGTCTGTGATTCTTTGATGGATGAAATGTATTCAGTGGGTCTGTGTGTGCATGTGCATATGTACTTCCTTCTTATTCTTGTTTTTTTCAAGCATACACAGCCACAGTAGGGATACATTGTTACATATGTGATTGTCTGGTAGTTCTGACAATAGCTGTCTAACATTGGTTGCAATCTAGGAACTGAAATGTATTCTACTGTTAAACTGTCAGTGGGTAAAGGCCTAATAAAATGTTAAAGCTGCACTGGCACAGATAAATGTATAAAGATTGTCTCCATATCAGCTGAGATTATGAATTTGTGAGAAATTACCCTTGTTCTCTTGTTAAAGAATTATTCAACATTTTGGAGAATCTGCTTATTCGCTCTCTTGCCAGTAAAATGAGAATATCGATACCATTCTCATGTTGCTTTTATACATCAGCTCTCTCTTAGTGACTCCTCTGGTTGCTCTCCAGATTAAATTCACACACTGTTTGTTGAGTTGGATTATTGTTTTATTGGGTGAATACTTACGAGGAAAAGGAGCCAGGATAGATGTCTACGTGTAACTAGAAGCAGCAAGCAATTAGCTTAGCACAAATCACAAAATCAAGACGTAACGTGTGACCATTTGTCGGTCTTGTCATCACCGTGAGTGGGAGTCCAGGAGAAGAGATGTAACTTGTTATTTATTAGAGAGCTTTAGAGGTGCTGGTAGGCGAATTGAATCACAATGCAATACTAAAACTTCGAAGTGAAACATAAAAAGGTCTCTTAAAACAGCAATAAGTCCTCCAGAAAAATCATAAAGCTGACCTCCCCTTCAGGTTACAAGAGGACACTGTTTACTGATGGCCCATTATGGTGCTACTGACATGCAAACTCTCTCAGTGCAGCTTTAAATGTAAATATGTGAGTGTATTTGCATGTGGAGGATGTTATGGTCTGTTTGCATCCATGAGGCCGAACAGGAGCTGCTACAGCCGTCTGCCGGCGTCCATTATGGTGACACACGATGATGTGTGTGACACGACTGGAGAGG